TATTTATACGTATATGTGGTACAAATAATACAGCTAATGAAGTATTTCATTGTGTTCATTTTGAATGTCCATGTAAACCTGATGTACTTAAATCGTATATGAATGAACAACAATTAAATTTAGCAACTGATTCCAAAGAAGAAAATAGTATAACATGTGAAGAATTTTATAAACATTATGAACTTTTACTTGATACAATAAATAATAATTCATCATCGACAATCAATAAAAACTCTTTAATAGATAAACATACAATTTTACCATTTATGATTAAACCTAATTCAACAGAAATATTTCATATTGAAAAAAATTCAAATTAACATTAAACGTTTTCTTTTTTTTTTGCTGTAATTGTTTTTATAAGTTGTATGAATATTATGATTTTGAAATGTTTTCTGTTTCATTGAAACGAGTAATGATTTTTGTATTTTTTTTTATCAGATGACTTTTGTTTTTTTTTTTATTATTAAACATTTTACTACTCGGCAAGTTAAAAACTAGCAAAACATGAATTTTGTTAGTGAAGAAAACATAATCAAATTATTCTCTGAAGACGATCGATTAGCAGAATTCATTGTGTTGACGTTATTAGGAGAGTTTTGATTCAGTACATTCAGATTTAATTCAGAAGAAAAAAGTAATGAAGATTAGAGTCTCGAATGGATTGAGGTTAAATTAAATCACCAAAGTTTCTCCTTGATAAAGTTTTATCATGAAAATTGAAAAATGCTTTTTTTTTGAATCTTTAAAATACATATCTTTGGCGATATTCTTGACTGCTTATCTTAAAAAACATTTTTTTTTTGGCGAAAATACACTTTTTGGAAGGGAGTCATGACCTTAGTCAGTATTTTGATGAACAGATTTGGCTTATAAAATTAAACAATTATTACTAAGTAAATGTACTTAGATTAGAGAATTGTGGATTCACATTTTTATGAACTCGAGCTTCAGAGACGGAACCCTCTAACCGGTTAATATACTGAAACTTTATGGTGGATACACATAAATGATTAATGCGATGCGAAGCATAGCATTTCTGTAGCCAGTCGCGTACGCATTTAACCTTCATATTTTAGATGTTTTTCGTTGTCAAAATTATCTAGAGAATAACGAGTCGCTAAAAATTTGTTCAAGCTATGTCATAGAGATTCACATCTCGAGATGATACAAAGGTTTTGAAATCTTCAATCTGAATTTTCGTTCATCTTCAGTGAGTTCTGCAAAACGGTAATTTTGATGATTTGACCTCCATCCTTTATCCGAGATAATTAAAAGCGGTGAGCTGGTCTTCAACCAACCTTATATAGGATAGGAATGACTCTATGTGAAATCGTCTATCATTCTTATGTTAATTAAAACCTTATTACGAAAATTTGAATCCACTTTGCAACGTATTAATGTAGCCTTTTGTGATTTTTCTTGTTTTGTTTTTCATGTACTAGACATACGCATTGAAGAAGGTAAAAGTTGTTTTAACAGTGTGAATTTGTAGGGAATCATTTCCCGTACGAAATTCTCACATTTGAAATCAAAATCGATTATTATATCTCTTAAACTCTTTATCTTTATTATGCTATAAACAACAGGAGTAAAAACAGCTTTTTGCACTCTCAGCAACAGAGCGGATATGTATCCCACTAAGCAAGAATACATCAAATGAAGCTTAACATAGTGTGTTGTTCTACATTTCATTGTGTCTACATAGGACTATGGTAAGCTTTTTACTCCTGCTATTCATAGCGTAACACAAGGTATATAACTTAAGTGATATAATTTGTTTTGATTTCAAATATAAGAGTTTCCTATGGAAAAAGATTCCCATCGAATTCATGTTGCTAAAACAACTTCTAAGTTCTTCAATGCATGAGTAAGACAATACAAGAACGTCTATATGTGATAGATGAATACATAGAAGACGACTAAAGTAGTTTTCAAATATGAAATGTCTATTCAAATAGAATATCTGATACAGTTTGTTGTGCTCTTGCTAATGATATATTGAACAGTAAAATTAGCTGAACATCTTTAGGAATTACGTAGAGCACAAGTTGTTCTATTGAGTCATGTGTCGTCATGAAAATTTCAACTTAGTACATTATGCATGTTCTTAGTTTTCGTGCTATAACGTTTTACTTTATTTTTCACTAGAACTCGGAGTGAATATCTTGCTATCAACTTCTAGCTAAGACAGTTTGTGTGTTCTTATTCAACAGTCAATTTACTCTTAGAGTATAATAAGTTCATCTAAATCTTTGAAAAATTTTGAGAAATGCCTTGTAGTAACCTCCAGAAATTATCAATTAATAAAAAGTTATTTTTGTTTTGTGTTGTTCCATCTCTAGAAAAGATGAGTTACAAAATTGATCAGTTTGCAAAAACTAAAACGTTTGGTTTTTCTTAAATAAAATATTTTCCTACTAATAGAGAAGATACATGATTGGAACGTATTAAGCCATATATATAACAACGAGCATTGCTACTACTGCACAGTGAGCAACCAGGCAGACATGACCGAAAGTTGTCTTTGCCAAAGTTCAAATATTGTAATAAATACATCTTTGGTTGGTCTATCTAACCCTAAAATACGATCTTCAGAAATCCACTCGAACGCTTGGAAAGCCTATCGCAAACATTTCTTTATAAATCAGTAATTAGACGGAAATCATTTTTATTATCAAGTTAGAGAAAATATTTTAAAATCAAAAGTTGTCTGGAACTAATAATTGGTCCATAAACTATATTGTGTGAAAAAATTATTTCGATTGGACCAGAAATGGAATAGAAAAAAAAAACGATTATTGGACCGAAAATAGGTCAAAAAATCTGTCATACCGTATTTTGTAAACGTGCAAGACAATTTAGGTCCAATTGATCTCAAACTTTCACCAAGTATTCTTCTATATATGACTTATCGTTGACCATAGCGCCAAGTCATAGTAGTGAACAGAAACAGTACTAGTGGTTTCCCAAAGAGCCAGGATTCTGTTCTGGAATCGTTAGTTTTCTCACTACAAAAACATTTCAGCGCAAAACCAGAGTGATATTCAGAATCAACTCATCGAGCTGCATCTAACCATATATAATAAAAAGCGTTTTTTTTTTAAATTTTCACCTTTATGCAAGGCAAGCTTAAACAATGTAAGTCATGTCGTATTTTTCGAACGCTACAGAGAGTTCTAATCCGAGGGAGCTCAAGGTTTCACCAAATATTACTCCATGTGCGATCTAGTGTTGATTCTACCACCAAATAGCGCTAGTCAACGTAGACTGAGTTAGTGATTCGTAAAAAAGCCTATTTTTTGACTCCCAATTTCCCACTTTTATCCATAAATTAACATCTTAGAGCAAAACTAAAATGATATTCGTAACCAGCGCGTGAAACTGCGCCGGATGACGTGTGGTAGAATATATGTTTCAACAAAGATTGTTTTTTTCGAAAAATGTGGCAATGATCCCCCACAGACGAATTTCAGAGAAAATTTTTTTCCCAAAAAATGATGTATTTTCGTCAAGATGATTTCTTGACTAATATATAATCATTTTTGGGCAATAAAAATCCATTTCTGACCATGATAATTATTAGATATCCGTCTGCTATGCGAAAGTTGCCCACTGTGCTGCATAGAAGTAGATTGATCGATAAGAGCGACACGAATGAAATGCAATGTCTTGAATGAACTATAAATATCTCGTTCGGAAAAGCATTGTGTGAATAATCATAGAAACAATTATGTGTTTTTTTTTATGAGATATTCTTTTGTTCGATAATCGAAATTCGAACTTCGTACCGCATTTCGCAGTCAAATGATGCTCGAATGCCATACAGGTTTTTTAGTGGTTCGATGATCAACCTATTCCTCCATAATGACTATTTCGTTTAGAATTCATGGCACAAAATAAGAGCTGAAATTGGTCTGGTGTTTTGACGATCGTTGCCAACTTTGTATATACTGGACTCGAACCCAGAAGTACTCACAGCTCCAGAACTCAGATACTGAACAAGCACTAATTTCTTCGTATCTTAAACAATAATAAAATACAAGATTGATTGATGACCTCGAGTTTTTTTTTTCGTACCCTTGAGTGTACTTTTGTTTCAATGTGTAATGGTTCAAGGATAGAAGTGTCGTACTAAGATGTAAAGAGACGGAAAAGTTTTTTATTAAATAGAATAGAGAAGCAAAAAATAAGTTTTAGGTCGGAGCGAAAACCAAAAAGTTTTCTTTGTTTCAATCTCTAGTCAAGATAATCCATTGCATTTGTTTTTCGACTTATTTTATTCGATCATACGTATGTAATGATTAATTTCAAGGTAATATAAAAATACGTCCATAAAAACAATTTTCTACGATGATCGATGAGATTGCATTTAATGGCGTTTTCTTCCTTCATACCATTTAAAATAAGTTAGCTTTCGAAACTATTAGTTACGTTTCATTGATTTTTATCGCAATTTACATATATTTAACTACCTTAAAGAGCATATACTATCTAACACATAGAATATTAAATATGTATATGCATAACTATTCTTCTGAGACTAGACATGAGGCTACCTAAGTGAAAGCAAAATGTATTTTTTTTTATTTGATTTCTTTTACGTGTAAATAAATGTATCGAGTTATTTGATTCGTTTTTGTTTCTTTCAATGCATTCATTCATTCATTCATTCGATACGATTGATCGAGAAAAAAAATGTCAGTTTTCTTTATCTGTTACCTATTCGTTTTACATAAAAGACGAGAAACAAAAAAAAAAAATCTTCGTCCTACGTATTATCATGACTAAACAGTATTTATCGTATAAAACGAATGACGAGTGTGAATGTTTCAGAGTGTAATTATTATCAACATAAGCTATTTGTTAACAATAATAATTGGTCAAAAGACGTTTATTACATAAAAACAAATAACTTAATATTTCAATGTAAATTAGTAATTGATCTTTCATAAAATTTGTTTGATTGTGTTCGTCAATTTCTGGGTCATTAATAAATCATGGCAAAAAATGCTGCAGAATATAGAAAAAGATTTATGCCATTTAAACGTACTAAGCCAGGTATTGGAGCAGAACATTATGTAGCACATGGTAGAAGACCAACAATTCGTGGACGTTTGACACAATTTGGATTTGGTGCTTGTTTATCTCATAAACTTCTACATATTTCTGATCCAACGTAAGTTTTACTTAGATTATTTAGATAGAAATTACTATGACTCAATGATTCAGTTGTTTGATATGTATTATCAAAGTAGTATATTCGAGTTTCATTATCTCCAGACATGACATGTTTGTCTCAGATTATCGGCATAGTAGCATACACAGGAATGTGCCGAGGAAGGAGTAACTCCCAGTCTTGAAAAGTTTTCGTTTTTTTTAGCAGAGTTCCAGATCGACCTCCTAAGTCATTGACTTCTCTCAATCCTGGTGATCTTGGGATATTCCTAAGTATATTGACTCTTTTGTGACATACATCAGTTCTTGTGTATAGTAAGCTCAATTAATCCAACGAAAGAGCTAGGAGTTAGTAGACTAGTCTTCTTTCCTGAACTGCTGTTAATAATTATTGTAGGACAAGACATTAGACTAATGAAATTGCCTTTAGATAGCATTCATAATCGAAAAGCAGGCGTGTTCTTCTTGTTTGAATCGAATAGATTTGAACATTATTGATCATTTGAATATTTAGATTACCAGTTCAATTAAATGTTTTTACATATGATGAAAATTCGTATACGGAAGGAAAATATAAAAATGTTGCAGACATTCCAACTGTACCATTTGCACCAATGACACCAATGACATGTATGTATTAGATTAATTTTAACAGAAAGAACAAAGAATATTAACATTATAAATTTCTTATTTCATAAAATTGAATTTTGTTTTCTCTTTAGGGATTGATGTTGATGGTATTCATGATCATGAGATTATATCTGCAATAGGTGATCGTTATGATATTCATTCATTGGTTCAAACAGACATAACAACAAGTGAACAACGAACAAAATTAGATGTTTTAGATGATGCATTATTTCTTGTATGTAAATTAATATATCGTGATATAGATCGTACAGGACAAATAATAACTGAACAAATTAGTTGTTATTTAAAAGATAATCTTCTTATTACATTTCAAGAAACACCAAAAGATTTATTTGATTCAATTAAAAGTAAAATATTTTACTAAAAGAATAAATCCATGGATGTCCAATGTACTTTTTCGAAGAGAAAACTTTTTTTACATCAATTTTTTTGTTTTGTTAGTTAGATGAGAACACAGTTTTGGCTCGCAAAAGTTTACTAGCTTTCGCTTGAAATAATGAAGATTTGATACATTTTCTAGAAACTTTCTCATAAGTAATTTGAAGTTTTTAAGCTCATATTTTGTCGATAAGCGTAGTATCACTAGACAAGTACAATCACCCAAGCATTTGTCGTTTTATATTGCGATTTGATCGAGATATAAATGCTATAAAACACAAAAATTTTTTATGTTTTTATTATTTTATGTAAACATTGTGGTTTCCAATACTCATATCTCGATTAAATCTTAATAAAGAGAAGAATGCTTTGGTGATTTTCACATTATAAGATTTTTTTTAGAAAACCAAAATGATTTTGAGGATTTGAGAAGATATTTCTTTTGTTTAAGTAAATAGACTAATTAAAGTTCCACCTTTTTGAGAAGTTAATTAAGAAAGGATTTTCTGGCCACCTCCTACCTATCTGAAAAAACTAAAGCGATAAAAATTTTTGTTCTAGAAAGCTTGTTGAATACTCATGGATTTACCTACTATTATTTTCTTTTTTATATTTAAAGATCGTATTCGACAAGGAAAAGGTCGTATAAGAAAATCTAAAGTTGATTATCTTTTTTATTCACTTCTTGATGTTATTGTTGATCATTATATGGATGTTCTTGATACATTGGGTACAACAGTTGAAGAAATTGATAATCAATTAATGAAAAAACTTAAACGTGATACATTAGAATCTATATATGATATGAAACGTGATATGTTATATTTACGTTCAATTATATCTCCATTAAAAGAAATAATAATTAAATTACAAAAAGAAGAAGAAACACAAATTATGCAAGAAAGTACAAATATTTATTTAAAAGATTTATTTGATCATATTGTACAAGTTAATGATTCAATAGATACATATAGAGAAATGTTAGCATCATTTATTGATTTCTATATGATGTTAAATTCGAATGCTATGAATCAAGTTGTTAAAACATTAACAATGATATCAACTATTTTTATTCCATTAACATTTATTAGTTCAATTTATGGAATGGTAAATAAATTTATTTTTTGTAATTAAAAAAAAAATTTTTTTTATTGCTTCTTTTGTTTTAGAATTTTGACAATATTCCTGAACTTAGATATAAATATGCTTATTTTATTGTACTGGCTGCTATGGCTGCATTGGCAACTTTGATGCTTTTATGTTTTAAACGTAAACATTGGTTTTAATATAAATATTTTTTTATTTGACTACTATTATGCTCATCATATTTCTTTTTAATATAACAATATAAACAGAAAGATCTACTGAATAATGCAAATCTATTGTTGCAAAGAAATATTAAGCATAATATTTCAATGTGTTGTAACATTGAAGATCTCATCTATACCAAGGTCAATGATTTTGGCTTCCAGTTGGAAGACTCCGAAAAATGGTGGGAACTTAGAAGCAGACATCCGATAGTCGGAACCGAATAGAGCTGGCTACCGGATTCAGACTATTGTGCAAAACCTTTCGAACGGAACTGACCATATACGATTTATCTAGACATTCGTTCTAGAAAGTTGCTCCGATTTTTTTTCTTATAGAAAGAAAAAACCTAAAAGACAAGTTGAAATTATTAGTTCACATATTCGTGTTCCTGTTCACTTCGTATTTTGAGTTGCTAGTATACCCAGGACGAGTAATCTAGGTTCCGGATCCTATCGGAAATCTGGCTTAATCCGATAAATTCCGACGGGAATCCGACAACTACCGACAGGATCTGCGTCGAAATCATTGGTAACGGAATCCAGTTGGATGTCGGTTCCGATGATTTCCGACAGTCGGAAGATGTCGGAAAGTGCAGAATCCGACGGGATCCTATAGGAATTCTATAGCTAAACCTAATAGTAATAGAGGTGCAACAAATCCTGTTTATCTGCATAAAGATTGTAAATTTTCGATATGAAACTCTCCCAAATCTAACCATATCTTCGTGTCAATAATAACCGGTTTTATTCGCTCTATCTGATACTGATAAATATATGTCAGTATCAGATAGAGCGAATAAAGCTGGCTACAAATGACACGAAGATTTGCTTAGATTTGGAAGGGTTTCATACCGAAAATTTATGATCTTTATGCAGATAAACAGAATTTGTTGCACCACTACCTAAAATGAAAAAAAAAATTATTTAATGAAATAAAATTCTTACTGTTCAATTTCCATGTTCGAATTGATTTAAAATAAAAAAAAACAATTTATTTAATTAAGAACGACACTTACTGTTTAATTTCGATGTGCAAATTGACCTAAAATAAAGAAAGAAATTATTTAACTAAATAAGATACTTACTGTTTCAATCTCGATATTGAAAATGATCTAAAATAAAGAAAAAAAAATATAATTATTTAAGATAAATTTGCTCCGTCTAGCTCTGAGTAACGAAAACAATGATAATGAACAACTTTAAAAGGACTTACTTTAAAAAGTCGATTTAATAATACGTAAAGTTAGACGTATCATTTTGCATTGAATATGACACTCCCATCTGATTTTTCTAGTCCTCAAAGTAATGCTAATAAAGTTACATTATTCGTAACGTATTTTAATCTACTTTGATAAGACGGGTTTTTGTCGTCGTGTCAAATTTAGATTGATTTCATTATCTTGGTTAAAACGGCTTTGCTTTGCCATAAACAATATTTTAAATATATTTCAAATATATTCTGCAAATTAGAATAAACAGCAATAGATGTTTTCATATCATCGGATCCAACGATTTCCGACTATCGGATGTCATCGATTTTCATCAGATCCGACAATTTCTGACTATCGGATTCTACCATCGGAATCCTGGAGAATCCGACTGTCGGAAAACGTCGGAAATCAAGAAATATAACGGGAATTCCGACAGTCAGTGTCCGACCGAATCTGGTTGTCGGATGGCGTCGGCTTATTGAGGAATCCGTCAGGATTCTGCTGGGTAGTTTCGCCCTGGGTACTTTTCTATTCTGTAGATGCAAATTACACTTTTAATTATTATCACGAAGAGTCATTTCTTTTTTGTTTTATGTCCTATCATAAAAATAAGGTCATAAAAATATGATAAATATTCGTTTGAAATTTATCTTTCAACATTTTCTTTTCTATCTAACGATGACTCAATATTGTTTTACTGCATATAAAGCCATAATCAGATTCTAACATAATATGAATGAATCGATTCCACTTGATTTTTCTTTCAGTATTCATTGCTAGATAATATAATAAATGCTATTGCACTTTCTATATTACAGCATACTGAATTACAATGAATACTGATAATGAGTTAGTTATGTGAAGGAACTTCGATTTATCCGAGACTATTCAAAATACTATTCCAGATGTCTTGAATAAAAAGACAAGTCGTTTCAATATCAAGATAAAAAAAAACAAAGGTCATTAAATTTAGTTTTTACTCTTGATCGTTGTTGATCAATAGAAATGAATAATAAATAAATATTAGCAAAAATGAAGTTATTATTTCTGTCCTTAATCTTCTTCATGACGATGATAGTGATGTATTGATCATTTTCGAAAATACACGAGCATCTACTCGTCAGTATTTTTATCCAATTGTAGACAACATTCAAATAGATGATTCAAAAAATATATCCAGGAGTATTGAGACAAGTGCTGGTCTTCTTGATAAATATGTATATAATGAATATACTAGTGCAGATTTCGATGGAGAAATTATGGAAGATATTACTGATGTTGAAAAATCAAGATTTTTCTTTCTTGAATAAGCACAAGTGATTGATACATTTGTCACAAAATTTTTTATTTTATATATATTTCACAAACAAGTCTTATTATGGGTAGTAAAAATGAAACTATTGTAAATGAAAATGTTATTACCGATGCAAGTCTTGACAACCTTTAACTGATTAAAAACTATTTAAAAACTTTTCTATAAGAATAACATTTATCAAATGTATTACATATAAATTAGATATGTAAAGAAGAATATGATGCCTTTTTCTTGAACAATTATCTATTAAAGATAATACGGTTTTTAAAAAAATTTTTCCTTTCAAAATACGAAATGAGATATGATTGTAGTCTTTATTATGCTTTAGAGTGGAAAGTTGCTTAATGGTTATGAAAATAAAGAGAAGATCATAATTATGTAGCACATATGTTCGCATTACCACCTATATAATACAGTGCTCATAAGAACTGACAGTAAGTTGCCAATCAGAGACACCTGTTGATGTACCGCGTAGAATGCCAATCATGGTAAGAGTGTAATGTAGCATATCCTGAAAATTTTAGCCGAAAAGAATGTTTTTTTGTCAAGATATTGAATTTCGAAAAAACAAATATTTGCTTGTTACTGACATGTGACGAAATTAGAGTTTACTTGAAAATTTAATATCTCAATAAAAAGAAAACATTCTTTTTGCTTGAAATTTTCAGAATATTCTATTGGATCATTAGACCTATCTATAGACTAAATTTTAAATCGAAATTTTTTTTTTGATTTTCCAGTATACACATAAAACTGAGTCGAAAATTCAAAAAAGCGAGCATAACTTGACCCCAAAGACTCATAGGAGCGAAGATTTTTGCCATTTTCATCAAGATGTTCAATATAGTTTTCTGCAATCGAGCCGGGTATCCGACACCTATTTCAGACATTAAAGTGGAAACGTGATATTGTTTTACTAACAGAATTCATCTAAAGATGATGATAGATCACATGACACCGTAATTAAATGCATGAAGACAAAAAAAATGAACTTTCAAAAAAGTGAATATGTATTATTGTGATGAAAAAAGCATTCATGTACAACGTTTGATATCAATGATGCATTTCACACTTAGCGAAATTGATCGAATTTTACAAGCAGAAAGACATCAAATGACTGCTGTTTAAGCAAAAGATTAAACAGTATATTTTTTTCATATAAAGTAAAAGTTTGAAAAAAAAACCAGCATATTAATTATAATGTCAAAAATTAACATCAAAACGAGTATATTTCGTATTTCCTTTTCCTGAAATAACTTCTTTTTTTTCTGTTTCTGGATATTCAGTCATTTGATTTGTTGGTTGTACTGGTCGATTATTATTATTAGTAGTATTAGTATTAGTACGAACAGATTGTTGTTGTTCTGTAAAACGATTATTACGTTTTTGAGCTTTGATTTCTTCTGATGATGGATAATGATATTGACCATAAGTTTCTGCAAATGGATTATCAGGACTCATATTTAATGATGCTTTATCTAAAGGAGCAGAAGAATTTGGTTTTTGTGTTGGTACACGTGTTGAAGCTGGTGGTGGTGGTGGTGGTGGTGAGGGTGAATTTGGTGATGATTGTTGTTGATTATAATAATTTTGTGATGGTCTTTGTACTTCAATAGGTCGATATGAAGGTGGTGCTGGATTATTATTTCTATTCCAATCAACATTCGATGTTGAATATGAATTTGATCCAGTACTATTATTTGAATAATTTTGAAATGATGGTCGTCGATAATTATTAAATGGATTCTCATTGGACATTTCATTTGTTGACATTAGTGGTGCAGCTGCTTTTGGTATTTCAGTAATACGTTTTTGTGGATCAATTTGTGATGGATAATAATAACGTCCATATGTTGAATAAAATGGATTTTCATCAGATAAATTTAATGATTTATTTTCTGTTGAACGTACAGGTGAATTTTGAGTTGTAATTCTTTTTGATGGATCTATTTGTGATGGATAATGATATCCACCATAAATAGAATGAAATGGATTTTCATCAGAAAGATTTAGTGTTTTATTTGACTCACTACCACTTTTTGGTGTTGATGTTACAGATGTTATTGTACGTGGTGTATTAGTTTGTTCATATGAACGAGATGGATTATAAAATGGATTTTCATTTGACATAACATTTGTTTTTTCAACACCACCTCCACCTCCAACAGGACGATTGATGCTATTATTTTGATTATAATTATTTGTTGGTGGATAACGATTTATATTTGGTGGTACATATGATGTTGATTGTTGTCCATAATTAGGTCTATCATTCACATATGTTATAGTTGTTGGTTGTTGATTATTTGTATAATAAGGATATGGTTGAGCAGGAGGACGTGATAGATCATATGATGGGCTATAATTATTTCTTGAATTTGATTGAGGATCATGAATATAATGTCGAGTTGTATAAAGAGGTGGTGATTGATTTGAATACATGTTTTGAATGTCAACTTTCCTTTTTTTAGTTTGACTTGTACGATTTTTGCAATTTGAAAATGACTCTACTGGAACAGAAAAAGAAAGAAAAATTTTATCAGTGCAAACAATAAAAACAAAAAATAAATAGCGCATATACATATATATACTCTCATTACGTTACTGGTTACTATGACTATTCTCCTTTACAAATATAACTCTCACGCCATTTTCTTTTTTCTTTTTTCTTTTTCTATCCTTCTGTCAATTAAGCTCCTGCGAAATAATTTTCTCCTTCTTTTTCTTTTATCAATAATGTAAAAGAAAAAACAAGGAATGAGTATTTCATTTTCAAAGAATTTTTTATGCAATTAAAAAAAATCTATTTATCTTTGTGAAACATACTAACTGCATTTAAAATATCGGATAATTTTAGATTTGAATAATAAGTAGTTGATGATTTCCAAAGCGTACGCGAGTTTACATCAACTTCATTGTAACTATTTTAAACTTTAAAAAGTAGTAAAACTTTATGTCTTGAAGCTAAAAAGTCTTAGAAAATTCTTTAAATAATGTTTTAATAGCTTCCGATCTCCAATTCTAAGGGAATTTCTACTCAAAATTCGATTTCTAGGATTTTGAGTATTTTAAATGATAAAAGACTAAGACTTTTAGAACAAATACTAATCAGTAAGATTAATATTTTATCTAGCGAAAATATTTTTCTTCAACGTTTCATTTGAATCGAAAGCTCTACAAAATACTCAATTTTTTCGAGATTTCGACAGTCTAATTTTTCTCACATTGGTGTAAAGCCAAAGTCTGTCGCTGAGTATGAGGATTTTGCAAGCTGGTTTTGATATTTAACTGAATTTTTGAATTCTCTACTGAGAAAATTAAGGGTGTTGGTGAGAGGAAAATTGACCTCCTTGATCTAGATTATAACAAAAAATTATTTTCTTTCATCACTAGTGAGTTTAAGAGTTTTGGGAGAACCTAATAGATTTCCGCCCGAAAAAAATCATTTGTTATAAAAATGTGCAGCCAATGCCGAAATATCTCGTTTTAGACATCCTCGTGTGAATAGATTATGAAAAGCTGCCATTGTTTTAATTGAAATTTATAATTTTTTTAGTAGGAAGTTCAGGTGGATATCGAAATTAGCTTACAAAATTCTCACTCAGCGACTAGCTTTGGTTTTACATCTTTGAAAATTCAATAGTTGGAGAGAATGTTCAAAGACAATTCTAATGCATATAATGTTAATAATTAAATCATTTTACAAATTAGGCTCGCAACACTTCAGAAACATCGAGTATCTTGGAAGACCGTTCGATCTGAACGAAACGTTGGAAAGAAATATTTTCGCTTAATAAGATATTCATCTTATCGATGAGTATCGGTTCTGAAAGTTCCAGCCTTGTATTGTTTAAAGTAAGAAAATCCTAGATATAGGAATTTTGGCTAGGAAATTTCTTAGAATTGGAGGTTGAAAGATATTAAGAATTAATTTTTTTAGGTGTTACTTAGTGGCAAGACATTAAGTTCTACTACTTTTGAAAGCTTGTTACAGTTCAGATGAAGTCGATATTAACTCTGGTAGACTTCCGAAAGAATTATCCAATAAAGTTTATTGTGAAAATTCGCATGTTAAAAGTACTATGATCATCTATAAAGAGAATAGATTTAGTGGAATTTACATATAACACTGTTAGGAAGTTCACAAAAGAAAATATTGATATGTTTATACTTTTATTAAAAATAATTTTGATCTTGTATTTAGATAAATATAAGTTGTAGTTATTCATTTTCAGCTTGAAAAATAATAATTTTACTTAGACCTTAGGTCAATAATACATATTTCTCAAAGAGTCGAGTAACATTCTCTTTGAACTCACATAAATCACTAGTATTTACTCTTGTATTAATTGAATAAACAAAATATAATTGACGAAGGAAGTCCTCCAACTAGTAAATCACTTTTGAGTTCAGACTATGTGTATTATGTAGAACTGAATGTGCTATGAATATCCTGAAAACAGTTCATGCTTATTACTGCACTTTTACAATATTTTTTAAATGAATGCTGTAGCTTCCTCTGAAACACCAGAAAAACTAATTTTCGAATTTCGACTTGAAACTTTTTACAGAAACAGGTGTTAACCGGAGTAGTTTATTATGAAAGTTTCAGGTCTTTTGATTTGTTGCTATTCTGAAATAAGAACATCAAAGTCTACCGATTTATATGAGTGATGTAAAAGGCACGCTATTACAATCGGTGAATCTTAAGATAGAAACAACAAAAAGATCTGAAACATTCACGAAAAACTATTCTCGTCAAGATCTATCTCTATGCACAGTTTCAAGTTGATATTTGAAAATCTGTTTTTCTGCTTTTCCTTAGGGTGACCAACGTATTGATTTAAAAACTACCGTAAAAGTACAGTATCTCCAGAACACCAAGCTAAGGACACGAACTCTTTTCAAGGTATTCATACCTCACTTAGGTCTGTATGATACACATGATCTCAATTCAAAAGTAATTGATCAGTGGGATAACTTCCTTCGTGAGAAGAAAAAAAGGAGTCTTTGTCTCTCGATTTCAAGCTCTATATATGGGCTATTTCAAGCAAAATGGGATATACCTACCTTTGATTCGTTAGAAAGATTATTTTTCTGAACAAGCTCTTTTAGCATAGATGTACGCAAAAATTTTGGTTCTTTTAGCTGATTATTAATTAAAAAATTATTCGTGAATATCTCTAACTGCATGAAAAAAAATTTCAAGAATTTCAGGATCGACTCTACAACAAGAATTGCATCTATAATAAAATTTTCGGCAAGATCGAACTTCTCAAAAAACTTCTTAAAAATTGGTTTTCTAGAAATTCTATCAAATACCAAAACAAAAATTTTTGTCTTATCATCGTGTAAAGACTCCGACGAAGAATTTCTACCGTTTAGAATTGGTTTTGTATTTCTCATTCGGTTATAAGAACATTTTTTCATTGGTATATTCGTACTCTGTCACGTCGTTAATGAAAACTAAATCAAGAAACTAATATGTATGAAGAAAAAAGTCGATGTTCTTTTATGTATCACGTTACTAATGTTAGTTTTCTTACTGATAATTCCTGTAAACAGAGGTGTCTAGCATTGATATTTTCTAGAATATCTCGAATACCTTAACATGTAACATAAAAATGAGCCGTAGGAAAATTCATTATCCTAAGATACACATGTTTTAATTTTTGCGAAGTCATATCGCTAACAAATGATTTTACCCATATAAATCTATAAAACTTATTACTTATCTCAGATTTCATTCTTCATTATAACAAATAGTTTGTTTAATTCTATTGAAAATAATTATATAATTAAATTCCTGAATGAAATTCTAAACAGCTAAAAACAAAGAAAGACAATATGTTCAAATTTATTCGATTAATTCTCATTATTTTAATAGAATAGTTTATATATTCTACAAAATGCACTATGTGCTAATAGATTTTTGTTTATTTATTTCGAGACGAATGACATATAAATAATGACAAAAACTTCACGTTCAACTTGATATTTTATTTATTTTCGTAAAGAAAGTTGTTTTGGATATTGTTTTAAACGTAGAAATTCTTCATCATAAATTGAAATATTTTTATATGAACTATGTTGTTTTGATTGTAAATAACATGATGAATTTGCTGATGATGTTGTACTATTCAATAATGTTCGTTGTGTTGCTATATTATTATTTTGATGATAAAATTTATCTTGTAAATATGAACATATTGTATGACGAAATGTTGTTTTAAGTGTATCCAAAAATTTTTGATTAAATGCACAATAGAAAAAAAAATTTATTGAATAATTTAATAATAACATTATATTTGTTATTAATTTTTGTATACGAAAACCAGAATTTATATAATTTGGATATTTTTTAATTGTTATCTGTTTTATAAAATTAGGATAAGATACTATTGTAAATGTATTACATACAAGAAAAACAAGAACAATGGCAACAAGTGTTTTAGTTAAACGATGTTCATCACGTAAACGTTTTTGTTTTATTGGATGCATCATAAGTGTTGATGATGATGGCATTTGAGTATGTTGTCGAGCTACGAGTTCATCTAATGTATAACGATTTGAATTTTGAACACGTCTGATTAATTTTAAATTTAGAAAAAGTAAAATAAAAACTGGTAAAATTTGATTTATAATAAACATTGTTATATAATATGCATTTCTATATGGTAAAAATTTTTTTCTTGGACATCCGACAACACAAAAACATTGACCAATATGAGTTGAATTTGTTGATGAATATTTAATAATAAATGCTTGTGTTGAACATATTGATGGATTAAATGAATCAACAGGTCCAATAGATGGTATAACATTTTCCATTAAAAATCGAGGAAAACTAAGTAAAGCACAAATAATTAATATTATTGTAATAATAATACGTGCATAACGTGGTTTACAAAAAGTTCGTGTACGTAATGGATAAGTTGTAAATAAATAACGTTCAATTGTTAATGCTAATGTTATCATTATGCTCACTTGACCAAAATAATTAGCTAATGGCATATAAAATTGTGATTCAAAACGTACTAAAGTAAAAAATATATTTTCATGACGCATATAATCACCACGAACAATTGAAAATGGTGATATTGATATTAATGTAATCATATCTGCTATAGCTAAACCAGTTAAATATGTATATGGTGATTCTTTAAGACGACGTTGAAGAAGAACACATAAATTAAGTAAATTACATACAACACCAAATATACATATAGTTAAAATAACATAACGATAACCTGCTACTTCAATATCATGTAATGTATCAGAAGAAATTGATCCATTTAGATTTGATAAACATGGATATCTACTCATGATGATATTTGTTTTTTTTTTGTGAATAATTTTTACATATCTAAATAATAAAATACAAATAATTTTTAATATATCGTTTTTTTTTTCTAATCATGAATTCAAAACAACGAATTATTTTTATATGAATCAAAACAAAGAAATCTTTATGAATCTTAACACTCAAAGATACTATTCTTTTATATAGACAGAAAAAAAAAACAATACAAAAGAATAATTTACTAGAATTTATAAACTTCTATTGATGACAAAAAAATAATCTATTCATTTTGACACTATTCATTGAGGATGCATTTATCTCTATGGATAAATCAATTAGATATTTATGTTTATGATGCTCTAAACCCATCAACTAAATTCAATCTACAGAAGGCCGTTCTTTTATTTTTATTGTAGTATTACAGCTTTTATTTACCCATAAAGATTTATTTGATTTATAAAAATAATGGATGTAAAAGAAGAACAAAGTTTGTATTCTAAGATAAATACAATAGAGAATATTCTAGTTGATCGTTAAGTTTTTACTTTTTTTTTTTTCTTTTATCCTTTTGCTTACGGTTCGAGTGAAATAGAGAATAGAAACTTAAAAAGATTTTACTAAATAAAGAAAAACTAGAAGCATAAAAATTCTGATAATAATTTATGTCTTCTTCTCTTCATTCTCGTGCATTTATATTATTCTTTTTAATGATAACAAAGAGAATATTTTGTTTTTCCAAATGAATCTTTATAAATGATGGATGGAGTAAAAAATATATCTAGATTTGACATTTCTATTAAAATCCAGATAAGACTAAAATAAATGATACACATATTTTGCATATAATTATTGACTGAAAACAAAAACAACTTACGTTTCTTTTACTAAAATAATACAGAAAAAAAAATAAAAATAATAACTTTAAATAATAATAAATAAAAGTGTCAGATAAAATGAATTGTTCTTATTAATGATTGAGTTCTTTTTTTCTCAAATAAAAATTTTGTTGTTATCTATCTCAATATATTTATAAGAGAAAGATAGATAATGTCTAATGGTTATATGTGTGCTATGAATAAATAGATAGAAATGAATTCCTTACTACTCTAAGGAATGCATTATGTGCTTTTTTATGTTTCTTCTTTATGACTATTATTATTTTTTGATAGAAAGCAAAAAATAAAAAAAGGGCTGTTCTACAAAAGGAAATAGAGAAGTGAATATTCTTCCTTAAAGGAAGAAGTCTTCAATCTCTCAATTACTATTTCTTTTGTTTGCTCATTCCCAAATGGCATATAATTTCATTTGAATTTGTTTCCTGGTTCTTTTTTTGTCATTCTTTTCATCTATCTTATTACAGAGTTCATTGACCCAAACAAAAAGTTAATTGATAAGTTCATTCTTCAAAAAGAAAACAATAAGACAACTTACCCATATATATACTCTCAATCAAAGAACTCTATCAATCCACAATTCTGTTAGTCTAACATCAAAATGTGATAGACGTGTGTCAATATTAGATAACAAAATAGGCGCATTGGTCGGTTTATCACTGCTACGAGTCGTATATATATATATATATATTGATTAGTTTATTCCAAAGAAAAAGAAAATGTCTATCAAGTCCGATACTATCAATCGCACCCAAATGATAACAATCAATAATTTCTTTTTCATACCATATAGTATATCAACGTAAATGCTATCGTTCATGATTCATTTACTTCCACATCATTAATTATTTTTCTATGTAATAGAATACAAATTTAGTCGTTAATATATATAATTTTCAAAGCATTTCTTCTTTTTATTTTTTATGCATTAGCATCAATAATAAAATTAAACAATAAAAGAAAAAAAAATATTTTCTATGTAATGTATACACAACTATGTTGTTATTTTTTTGTTGTCTCAAATTATTAACGATCAAACTTAAAGAAAGAAAGTTAATCATAATTATATGAATCGCATGTATATCCTTGCATAATTGAATACTATTTCATCGTTTCTCATATGTTGATCATTTATCATTTGATCTGTCAAAAGAGAAAATAATGATTTTCTTCTGTCAAATGATATATTGAGATAAGAGAATATCATATTATATGATATCTATTATTCACACTATTATTTTCTTTTGTTTATCATAACTATCATTTACAAATTTCATAATACAAAAATTATCTTTTTTTCTTTTTAATATCGAATATTTAATTATAAATGTTTTGTATAAAAAGAAAAAAAGAAATATAAAATGATATTTAATGTTATATTAAGCAAAATGTTAAGTGAAAACATAATATTGACTTAACCATTCTTTTTTATTATTGGTAAACGGAAATATTGAGATACAAGAAAGAGAAAGATTATATTTTCTTCCTTTATTACAATCATTCTAAGCTCGAAATAGATCTATATCGTATGTTTCATCATCTTAAAAAGACAATTAGATAGAGATCTGTGCAGAATTAAATAAGAAATAATATAAATTAGTCTGAATCTGTATCAAATTATGATTGTACAGAATAAGATTATCGACAAAACTAAACGAATAAACATTTATAGAATAAAAAAATCAATAGATAATTAGTTTGTGATTATTTTGGTTGTCAGCTGCTCGTCTAAAGATAATATTATAAACATAACTTGTACTTCTCAATATGTCATATTGCTAAACTATACTACAGTCGACATTAAAAGTCTTGCATTACTTTTTATTGTTAAGGTGTGTATTAAACCCACACGATATTAATTTAATATAAGTATATGTTTGTATAGTAGAATTTAAGTACTATATGTATAGTAACTGTTAAATATATCCAATTAGTTAATAACTGTATTTTTCTTTGTGTTTACCACAGAAAACTCGATGAATGTTTTGATTGATAATACAAGCACAGCATGATGTTTTTCATCCTTCCAAAATTATTCAGCTATGTATTTTTTGCAGACTCTTGTGTGTCCATTGTAAATTGAAATTTTTCTATATAATACATGATTCAATAGAACAAGTTACATTCGATGTAATGAGTAGTTTTTATCGTAGCTTTTGTTTGAGTATCAATCAAAAAAATAATACTTTTTTTGACCCATACCGGAAATTTTTAACAAAACAAGTGACAAAAAATAATACTTGTCCTATAATATTTAGCCAATGTTATTATTCAATATGACATTAGAAAGAGCACTACAAATGACATCAAATATTCTATTATTTGAATAGATATTTCATGTTGAAAAATTGTATTGATTATCTCTTGTGTATACACGAATCACACAGAGACATTCTTGTACAATCGCATTAACACACCAAAAGAAAATTGTTTTAACTTCAATCTTTTTCCGTACAAAACTCTTGAAGTCGATTTAATCACTTAAGTTATATACCTGTATTACTTAATAAATAGCATGAATACAAAGTTTACCGTAGTTTCGGCAATAGCCAAGGTTACAAATTCCACTAATCACATCGTTTAGTGAAATACATATATCCGTTCTGTTGTTGAAGATACAGTAAACTTTCTATTCATGCGCTTTATTAAATAACAAAGGTATATAACTTAAGTAATTAAATTCGTTTGATGAGTTTTGTACGGAAAACAGTTGAAGTTAAAACAATTTTCTTTTGGTGTGTTAATGAGACTACAAAACAATCGATGTATGATTGGTGTATACATAGGAGACGAAGAATACAATATTTCATGCAATTTGTTGTATTCTTTCTAATGATATATTGAACAATAAAACTGGTCAAATTTTATCTTGGTTTTAACCCATATTCAAACGAAAGCTATGATAAAAACTACTGATCACATGAAGTATAATTTGTTCTATTGAATAATCTATCATACAGAAAACTTTAACTTATAATGAACGTGTAACAATTTGCAAAAATAAGTAATTGTATAATTTTAGAAGAATGAAAAACATCATGTTATGATTGTATTATCAATCAATAGCTGGCTTTTGAATGCTTCTCTTTTTTGATGTTTTTGGTACGAAGCATAGCAGTAGCAAATCTCATCGAAATAGAATTTGAGAATTTTGTGATGTAGTTGTCTTTCTTCATGATCCTAGATCAAAATCATCCCGTAGGATTCTATTGGATTCGACTGATGAGAAAAATCTATTCTGTGATGTCACCAACTTCACACACAATTCATCCGGATTTTGTCAGATTCAACGAGTTTTCCAATAGGATCGGATTATTTGTTCTGGAATATCTATTTGTTGTGCGCTTTCGTATCAAAAACAGATTTCTTTTGAGAACTAACTCTGTTTCCCCAGCAGAACTAAAAGTAAAATTTTAGTCTAACACCAACCTTTGTATCTTTCATAGTAGCTCAATATCAGTATATTTAAGTTCATGTGAATTATTCTCCTTTGATAATTTAATATAGTGTTATTTTAGACTTGTATTGGGTTATATTGTAATAAATGCATTGTAAGAAACGAGACAAATAAAATGAGAACTGTGTATCGAAATAGATTTGCTATGAAACGTAAATAGCGAAGAAGGAGCATATGTATTGTGTTCCCATCTTATATTTAATAATTCTGTTTTCTTTCTAAAAATAGGTTTATGTGCTTTTTAAAATTCTAATGAAGATAAAAACCTACTGATTTAATAAAAAAAACTCTGTTGAATTCTTCTGTTTTTGCGACAGAATTATGTAGATATTGAATAAATTTCATGACAAGTTTATTGTTATGTGTTCGATGAGAATTGTTTAATCTCGCTAGGGAATATTCGATATGTTCTATTTAGTACGTGGTATTGTTCTATTTCGTGAATAAAATAAGTAAATAAGGATTGGTTAAAAATTCTCGTGAATATCTTGTTTCATCATCTCCAGACGACTAGAGATACATATTTACTGTTATCTCAAAAGTAACTGTCTCACATTTGTCAAAATATTTATATGCTACGCATTTAAGGCATTGATTACTTTTAAAAATTCAGTTTTCTTGCTAATTAGGATACAACGTATGAAATTGTGTTGGTGTTTCTTAAAACGAAGGATATTCTTACTCTTGAACGAAACTGTAAGAGTATCCAGTACTATTCCTAACACACTTACATATCTGAAATATTACAATACTCTTTCTATGACAAAAATCGAGATCTTCCTGTTTCTCAAATGACTGTTTACAAGTCAGATCAATAGACTGATCTCAAAATTTTTGACTAATATAATAAATACTACAGGCTATAAAATAACGAAAATTAGATCATTCTCGTTCACCTAGTACTTTTGAGATATATACAAAGCGCAAAATAAAATTATTCAATAAGGTCTACTTTCATTATTTTTCTTCGCTGTCATAAGCGTTAGTAAGCATCTATAGAAAAATTTGTTTTCAATAGGAATATAAGCAAATAAAAATTATTATTAGGTTTCAAAAGGCAGAAATACTCGAAATTCAAAAGGCCTAATTTTTCAGCATCTAGAACATGTACATAAAATTTTGTTCAGACTAAACAGAATGATAGGCCAAATAATTCTCTACAAAATGAAACATCTTTCAGTTCTCTGCGATGTTTTCTAGCTGAGATACAATAATTTTACGAAAGTCCATACAGTTAGTTTCAATCAATTTGCTGTATCTCAATCAAAGAAAGTTGCAGAAAACTCGACGATGTCTCATTTTGTAAATAATGGTTTACTCTATCGTTCTATGTGTTGAAAAACTAGGATTTTGATTTTCTGAAGTTCCTATCTTTACGAATCTAATAATAATTTTTATTTTGATGATAGTGGAGACTTGGAAATAATTCAAAATGATTTATTTGTATACTTAAGTTGTGAACATCTAGAAATATAATCTGAGAATTTCAGATCATAATACTTTTTTCGTTATTAAATTTTTATAGAAGATTGAAATCTAACGAACGTAATTTTGTTCCAGAATGAATTTCTTCTCTGTTTCTACTTACGGTGAAATATGTGTTCAAGATACAAACAATATTATTTAGTAGTGTTTTTTCTGCTCTATCTGTTGGAAAAGAAATTGGCTTACAAACTAAATCCTATCAGTGTAGAAATTACATTTCATGAGTTGGTGCGTTTTTTTAGCCAAGGTATATATATAGAGTACTTAAGCTCTACTATATAGACATATAATCATATTAAACTAATGCTGCATTATTTTAATATACGACTAGAAAATAAAAGCCAATCCGAGACTATTCATGTCGACTGTTTTAATAATATTATCATGATCTAATCAGTAAGGATAATATGAAATGAATAAAGTCGTATAATAACTATTCTTTTTGTAAAATACAAACGAAAAGGAATGTTGAAGTATAGAAATAAAAGTTTGGATCCTCTTCTACACACTTTAACAATATTCTCCTCCCGCTGTGGCACGGATTGTAACCGACGAATGTTTACGATCACAGAATGTATATCAATAACGTCTCATTCTAATTATGGTTATAAGAACACGAGATAGTGGAAATAAACGGTTGAAAACTGATAGCTAAAATTAATTAATGTTCTTTTTACGAATAATAATTTGTATCTCACTTCTCTTATTTAGTTAGCAACAAATAAAAAAAAAGATCATGATCTATTAACTAAAACTGACACGTCTTTGAAGATCTTATTCTTTTTTTTGTAAAAATTATCAAACGATTTCTTAGTAATGCTTCTTTTTGATTTATTTTAACTATGGTTATACTTGCTGATATAACATGTGTTGACACTTGTCTTAACTGTCTGATGTGTTTTTTCGAAGGTCAAAAAAAAACAAACATTTTAAAATGGATAAACTTAAAAATTTTGTGCTTGTTTTTCTTCTATTACACATTTAAAGCTGTACTAGAAAGAACACCGATGTTTTTTTTCTTCTACAATGTAGCATGAACTCAATAGATTTCCTCTCTGGTTTATATTTCTATTAGCATATATTAATTTACAACTTAGTAAATTCATGTATCTTTCTCACCTGTGTTGATGTACATAAGAGAAGGTGTGCCGTTATTAAATAGAAAACAAAAATAAATATGGAAGGAAAAAATATGTTAAAAATAGAAAGTATTGGAAAAAAAAGTTGTTAGCGTAATCCTTATGGGATGAAAATGTGAAACGGGATGTAGCTGCTGCTGTGAGTTACGAAGCAATTCTTTTATTCTATCTATTTTCGAACGACATATCTCATCACGATCCTTTCACTTAATAGTCGAGAAATGCAATCAGGAAGTTGTTCATATATTGGAATGAGACATTATTGATAGGCCCTCTGTGATCGTAAAACTACGTCAACCACGATCTTTAGGAGGGATGAGGGGAGTGTTGCTAAAATTTCTGTCATAGTGAAAGATTTGCAGAAAATTTCGAATTCCCGCTTCAACTCGTAGCCGGAATTGGAGTTTATAAAAATTATAGAAATTCCGAAAACCTGTTTTTTTTTCACTCTTTCCTTATGTAAAATAATTTGTTGAAAATTATTCAAATCTACATTTGTATTTTGTGCTTTCTTTTATGATACTAATTTAATCAGTTTTGATTTTTCTGTCTAATATCTAACATATCGATTTATTCGTTCACGGTACGCTTCATAATCAGATTAGATTCGTAACAATGTACTAATCTTCAATGACATAATATTTCTAAACATAAAAGTTTTCGCTTATTTATGAGAAAAAAATTTTTCAAGTTCAAACAGTTTAACTCTACACGTCTTTGATCAGCGTCTGTGACGTTGCCATAGTGATGTCTCGAAGGGAAACAAATTTTTATCTTATATAATTCAACACTCCTTTTCGGTCATATATCACAAAAGTGATCACTGTTGTGAAGGTTGACACTACGCTTTATAATTTATTATTGTGAGTGGGAGTATTGTAGAAACGTTCAATTTTACACTAATATCCACCCTAAATGTAATGGTATATTTAGATGATTTATTATTTGTAGTTACTAAACGAATAAATCGACATTTTATAAATTCTTTCTTTTTTTTTTGTGTATATGATCCCATTTATAATGCTAATGTTATACAAAAAAAAACAAAGAATATGTCTTGCTAGTTAGAATTTTCTAAAGAACTTTTCGACAATTTTACATTTCGAGATTTTATTTGCTTTCGATCTAACTACGTCGAATCTAACAGAACATACCTTTTTTTTTCTTATATTCAATGTTTTTTTTTTTGTGCCACTTTCTTTTTCTTATCTCAACATTAAGATGTTTTGCATAACTACATCTATATATTCGTTCAAATAAAGAAATAAATAGTCGTTAACAGTTTCCGTCTAAGATTGACGTATACTTCGATTAGCAATGATAGGTTTCTGATTAGTATTATTATCTTCTGATATAGCTATAAATATTATTCATTGTTCAAGGTAAATATGACATAAGGTGCAAGCCATTTCTTTATTGTTCGCTGCATATAGTATGATTAACAAACAAAAATAACCAAGTATGCTTTAAAAAAAACAAAGGAAAACGGGAATTAATTGATCTCCCGCTGTAGAACTTTCCATTTCGAATCATAGTCGACAGAAAATTAGGCTTGAAATTTTGAATTGATATATTGAGTTTAATTTCGGAAATCTTTTCTTTGGGGGATGAGGGGGAGAATCATTCTTGCAAATAGAATTTTTTTAAAATAGAAAATGAAAAAAAAAACAATTCAATTAAATACAATTCATGGTTGTATTATTCATGTTTATTGTTTCAACTACTTCTTTTTTTTAAACATCTTAAAACATGAACAAAAAAAAAAGAATTGCGTGAATAATTATTTTGTATGTTAAGCCTTTTAAAATTGCTGTTTAATTCTTGTCTATAATAAAATAGTTCTTAAAAAATTCAACATTTAATTTTTTATTGAATTTATAATAATAATTATTTTTTCTTGGGTGGTTGACTGGATTTTGATGATTGTCCGGTAGTCATACGAGCCATAAATTTCATATATTCTTCGTATGATACAGTGCCATCTTTATTAGCGTCCATACTTGCTATAACTTCATTAATTTCAGCATCTTTATGTGAAACATTTGATCGACCAAGACATTCTTTCATTTCTTGAGCTGTAATAAAACCATTGTCATTGTCATCAAATTCCATAAATGCTTTTGTTATTTCTATAACTTGAGCAGGTTTTAATTTACTAAGAACAGAGCCACTAGACATATTTTGTTCAGTTTGTGTTTGTTTTGATAATGCTGGGTGTAATGATTGATATTTCACTTATGAATAACATGAATATTATGGTTTTTTATGTTATTGCTTGGGAAATCAAGCATAACGATCACATGTGATTATCTCTACGCAAATAGAACATCACCAAGGTGTGCATATAAAACCATTTTGTTAAGGCTGAATAATATCTGTACATATGAGAACGTAGCCGGTGGATTTACGTATATTTTTTATCATCAATAAATAAATATTTGAATGAAGGGCGACATCTATAAGTTGTCAAAGTAAAAGTTAAAAATAATTTGATAGATTTATTATTTTTTTAATTCTAATCGAAATTTTGCTTTCATAAAATTCAGTCTTTCAAGTAGCTAAACTTTTTAATTCTCTTTATTATTAATTATTTTTTGATATTATTTATTCATTGAATATAGTCTATGGAAAGCAGTTGATATTCATTACTAGCGATTAGAGATGTACGGGATCGGAATTACGAGAAAAAACAAGTCGTCTCAACGAAAACTAAAGATCATAGTTAAATATTCTATGGGTCTAAACGAATTATCATATTAATCAGAACATAACTCAAAAGAGATGAGCCAAAAAAAAAGAAAATTACTAGTCATCGATTAATTAAATAAAAAAAAAACGGGTACTGGAGAACTGTTTTTTTAGATATGACACGAATAAATTCTGGAATAGTTTTCTCTAAACAAGGACCGAGGCTTGAAAAAAAATAAAATTTTTACGACTGTGACTAGGTTAGATTTACCGGAACCTAAAAAAGCTTAATCCCACACATACCCGACTAGCTAAAGATTCAATTCAGATGAAAACATATTTCCTATCCGACACGTTTTGTGTTGTTTTATTATTCAATGAATGATTAATATGAATGTTATTTTTTTGTCAAAAGCCGTTATTTAAATTTTCTTTGAAAATTTTTAATATTCTATATAATTATTTATTTATGTTTGGTTTTGATATTACATGCATTTGATTAGTTGTCAAGAGCAATATTAGATAATTTTTTCATTATTTATTCTTGTTTTTGTATAGAATTTAATATGAAAAAGAAACAATTGATAATAGTTAACTAAATATAGATTCAAATATATTGAATAAAAATATAATTCAATTTAATTTATAAAACACGATTTTTCATTTAATATTAAAATATTTTCATTGATAGAATATTGTATTCAATTCATTTAATTGACTTGATTATTCTTATTAATATGTTATATATATATATTGACTGTTGGAAGGGTAGACATAATTGAATGTATACATGCGAGTAAGACAATCAATTAAACAAGATAAAATAACAACGAAATAAAACTCTGTGTTACTTTTAAAAATATTCAGATCATATGTTTGTGAGAATTCAATGAACAATGAGTTTAGTGAATATAAACATATTGTGTGATGTGTTATTAATAATTAAAACATAAATCATTGAATACAAATAATTAAAAGATATAATTTCCCTTGAGCACAATAATGTGCTCGCTCGAGAAATATGCTGAATAGTTGAGTTTGATTTTATACACGCATCCTTATTATCTATGCTTCATAACACAATTGACAGATACAACTTACAATAAAAATAGCTCATTCTTGCATCTCAAACCGCCATCGTTTTTTATCTATAACATGCAAAAAACCAATCTGTTGTGAAATACAATTAGAAATGAATGTTGAAATATGTAACGAGAAAGTTAGACCCCCGACAGACCGTGAATGACATCTTGTCATTTGTCACTGTCTGTGACAACTTCAAGGTCTTCTGGGAAACATAATTGAACAAAAACGTTTAAGTATACCGCAAAAAAATTCAGATTCATGTTGTCCTATCTCAAACAGATCATGACAAACTAAAAAAAAAATATATTAGTCGGTCTAACTCAAAAATAATTGTATGATTGACATCGATTTATAAACGAAATGAATCTATTGTTTTTCATATATTAATCCCGTTGAGATTATATTAGAAGTTGTTTCGACATAATATTCTTTGTAAATCTCAAAACATACATTATTATATAGAGCTGACACATTTATCTTATTTCCATTGTCATTTTTCGTTTATTTAAAAACATAAATTTAAAAATATTTATTTGATTTTTTTTTTTATTTGACGTATTCAATGATGTAAATGATAAAATCATAATAATGAGCTCAATTAGTAACCAAATTATATACCATAATCTCAATTTTAACTTTGTAGGAGATTCGAATAGGTTATTCATAGATGAGAAAAAAAAAGACAACGACGACGAAGAAGAAGAAAAATGTTTATATTATTCATTCGAACGTTTCTTGGATCCGAAATCATAGAAACGTTTTCGTGTACCAAAATCATAAAATCGTTGAATACGATCAAATTCATCATTTGAATCTCGTGTACTGTCATCATTAATATTAATTGATCGTGAACCAAAATCATAGAAGCGTTTGTTTGCTAATGCTCGTTTCATTCGCATATTGACAATATGATATTGTTGTTCCTAATTAAACAATAAGAAATTGTTAAAAAGAATTTTTTTTATGTTTTTTTTTTTTTTATCATACCGAAAGAGCACAAGTCATAGCTAATAATGTTAAATAACCAAAAATAAACATTAGAAGAATATTAATTGGTTGCATAGTATTAAATGACTTACAAATGAATAGGATATATATATATATTGTCTACAAAAAATACAAAAGAAATGATGTTCTTTCTTTTTTTTTCTGTTATGACTTTTACTAAAAATCCATTTCTATGAAATACAATGTATTTGACCGAATAAGGAAAGATTTACTATCTGAATAAAATCTAGTATTCTTTTTTTTCTTTTCTCTATTCTATTATTAAAAAAAAAAGAAAAGAAAACGGGAAAGATCTTATACTACATTGCTCAAAAAATATTCTTTGATGACAATAACAAAAAAGCAAAGACATGTTCAAACCCTAAAAAGCAATATTAGTCTCATAGAACTATCGATAGTCATTAATAAATCGATCGTAAGAGAAAGAGAGAGAGAGAGAGAGAAATTTTTTTTTGTAGGCGGAGAATATGCGACTCTTGGTTTTTTATATTGCTCCTTACGAAAAATCGTAAAAGAAAAGAAAAATAACGTGCCAATGATTGAATGTATTGACTTTAGCCGTTGGTCTAATTGACTTAGCTAGTGTTTTGAGAAAATAATGTCGTCGTTCTACTTAGTTTATTCAATTAATTATCATTCTATTATTGATCCTAAGACATAAATGCGAAAATATGCATGTCGAGATTGTTTTGGTTTGACTTGTTTTCTGTTGTGGAATAATATTCAAGCAAAAAAAAACTATATATCTATTGTGATAAATAATACTGCCGATTTTTTTTTCTTCTTTTTCTAAGTGTGTTCTAGACTTTAATAAATAGACTAGTTTCTAAAATTTATTGTTTTTTTTTTATTAACAAATTTCAATTTCTGATGAGAAAATAGACATGTCAAATGTTTCTGAGCGTAAAACTTGTTTGTTTCGTAATAATATTTAATGTAAGAAAACAAAAACAATCAAGCACATGACATGTAGAGCGAAACATCCTAATTATACAGCAAAAAAAGAACAGTTTTAGTATTTTCTCTGTTAATTCGAATTATATACATTATAGAGAATTAATTTTTTCTTTCCAAAACAGAGAAAAGATTTCTCTACGACTGACATAAAATTAATTAAAATATAATTGATTAATTACTGTGGAAAAATGTAATAATAGGGTATCTTGACTAAAACAGATCATCATCATTTTTATATCATCCGAAGATTTATAACAAATATTCAAAATCTGAAATATGTAAATTCATCTTTTTGGAAATATTTGAAGAAAGTTTGTTTTTTTTTTTGAATTAATTTATTTCAATTATTGATTGTTATTGTGAATTCGAGTAGATTTTTATACGTGTCTCATTTAGATTCATGTTCATTTTATATTTATCGATCAAGTCTTTAAATGAAAAGCGGATTTGTCGGTAACAAAAACAAAAAAGAAAAACAATTCTCTTGTTTGTTAATATTGTCTAACATTGGTGTCAAAATTTGACAACTTCAACTCGACCTTATTGATTATATTTATGTGACTATTCAACTAATTATAATTTGCATGACTTTGTCGAAAGATATTCAGTCATCATTCTAAGATTCGATAGTAACTCGTTTTCATAAATATCATGAACTTCGTCGAATTATTACTATGATAGTTTCACAAAAGAATTGCAAAATAGCATTTATACAGTCTATATTTAGCATTTGTGTGCCGAATTCGACTTGCATTTTTCGTTTCATAACAATATACGATTCAAATTTGACCATGGAAGAATACTCCTGTCTTCTAGCTACTTTGCGACATAGGATGCTACTTAGCGGCAAATTCATTAGTCCGATATCTTCCCTACAAGTAATATTAGCTGTAGTTCTGGATAGAAGATCGGTCTGACGCAGAGTTCTCGCGTTCTCCATATACACTAAGTAACCACAAGAACAGGTGTATGGTCATATCATAGTCAGTATGTTATTGGACGGGTGATTCGAGATTTGAACACAGTATCTAGTGGATATCTGTCGATCAACGTAGCTAATCAGCTGTGACAATCCATGGGCACAAAAACTTCTCAGAAAATATATAAAATAAATCTTCAAAGAACATATTATCATAATATTGAAAAAAAATCATATAAATCATTTAAACTGATTAAAAGATATGCATGTTTATTTTTCACAACGGATATTTGAGACATTCTGTAGAAATACAATTGCATTCAAATACTTAGGAGAGACCGCCACAAGGCACTTTTTTCGCTTTGCTCTGTTCTTAGAATACATAAGTGACGTCGACTATGGAATTAATTGGTAATCAAGCGAAAAATCTTAATCATGTTTTGATTTCCTGCTCATACCTTTGTTAAATCATTTCAAAAGAATGTTATTCATGTATACAATCAGATTATTATCGAGTAAAAATAATGTCATTTTAATTTATTATTGATGAAAAAATAATTCTTTTTAGTTCAATATCTTGAGTTTTTTTAGCAATGAGTACATAACACTAGTAGCGTATTCACATGAAAACAGAGATTCTTTGCAACTGAGTATCGTTATTTAATTAACTCGAAACCTTTCATTACCATTTAGTAGCAGATGGATATTCATTTTTTTTTCTATTATTTCCTAGACGTGCTTATAATGTAATAAGAGATTTTGAATCTTCATAAAACCGAAAGAGTCTGTATTGAACGAATGAATGTTGTATTTGTAAGTTCTAAAGAAATCAATCGAAAACATGCAGCCATCACTAATTGGTGAAATTACATAGATGACGCATGTTTGCATGTAGTAAACTATTTCAAATGGATTTTTTATAAAAAAAAAAAAAAAAGGTTAGCAAAACAAACTATTGTGCTCTGATGATAGTCTCTGATACTTAGGAAATTTCATACGACAGCACTAAAATCAGTTTTGAAACGATCTCTAAAAATGGAATGGCACTTTTTCTCATGGGTTATACTCCCCATCCTCCATTATTTAACTATTTTTTAGTTATGAGTGGTGTGACGATATGAGATAATAGAACCAGACATTAGACATTTTCAGTGTTAGTAAAAAAAAATTATTATTTTTAGAACAGAATCACTACCACGGAAAACTAGTATATCTAGATTTTGATTATTAAAAATTGTTTATTTTATTGAAAATAAGCATGATTTTCAGAATCAGCATGTAAAACTACATCAGAAACTCTATCTGTCATCGAAAAAGACCTCCAAGCAAGTTTTGCATATAGGAGAACACAGCCTAAAATTTTATGAATAAAAAGCTGAGAGAAATAAAGCGAAAATTTTAAATAAAGATATTTTACGATAAAATGTAGAGTTTTCGCTGTGCTCGTGTATGATGATTCCGAATAAAAATCAATTTTTGATAATCAAAATCTAAAAATACTAGCCGTTGCTTTTGGGTATTTCATGTGAAAGTGATCTTGTTCTAACAATAATGATCTTTTTACTAACAATATGAAGTTCTATGTTTGTGGCAAAAGTCTTCATATCATAACGATACAAAAAAATTAACTGGTGATATATGTGCCATTTTCTTTAACCACTATATTGACTTTCTCTCTTCATAAGTTCGAACTACAGTTATAGGTACCATCACAGTGAATCATTGTGAAGGTATACGTTAAAAAATCTTTGTAATGTACTAAAAAATAAATGTGTAACTGAATACTTTTCGACGATAAGTCCTACTCCTTAACAAAATAATTGTTTCTTTTTCTATTTTCTAGGGGTCACTGTACGAGAGCCACGACCGATCGTACTCAATCGATAGTCTCAAATTTTGATGAAAAGTTATTCCATTTTGTAGAGCAAATGTTTTTTAGGTATATAACCAAATTTTTAGACTTAAAGCTTGAACTTTGACTGAGATATGCTCATCCGACTAATAGTACTCAAAATAGTCTTTTGTTAAGATGAGAAAAGGTTTGATCAATTTCTTGTGTGAGATATTTTGACGATATCTCGTCACCAGTACGTGATAAAGCTCTGAAATTTTGACCGGATATACATTTCATAATGAAGAATACAACCATCATATTCGATAATGTACATATCTTCAAAAAGTATGACTGAATTTTTTGAGATCACCCTGATTTTCCTATATATTAAGATTAAAAATAGCTTATCTTCATGACAGGCTTTGTCCAGATCAGCATGATAGAATTTTCTGATTTTTTTTTCTCAAAGACTACTAACCTGGTACTACTTAAATATGCAATCAAAACTTTGATTGGTATAAATGGAGTACACAAAGATTACCAATGCCAATAAAACTATTAAATTTAACAAAACAACAACAATTATTTATTATTGGAGCGAGACATTTTGAAAATGTTAAGCCTTTATTATATGTTAATAAATTGATGGAATATAGAATTAAACAATATCTATATCCTAATATAAGACTTGTTAAAATTAATAATTTCTTAGAATAAACTCTAGATAAATCAATATTTTTTAATATACAAAAAAATGATTTTTACTAGAGATAATCAGACATGCCCTCTTTTTACTCCTTAGAAAAAAATCAATATCACATGATGGTGGATATTTAACGAAATATGGAGCTATTTATGTAGAAAATATTGTTTTTAAAAATAAACCATTAAATAAATTATAAAAAATCAAACTATTTTCTGATCATTTTATAATCTAGTTTAGGAAAACAGTTTCATTTACCAATAGATTTATGCAATCGTAAGACTTTCGATATGATAATTAGCAAGTACATATACACAAAACTAACAGATGTTGTATCTAGATTCTATCGTAAACTATTTAAAATGTGATGATTTCTCGAGACAAAAATATTCGTTTATTGTCGTCGGATACGAAGGTTGTATACTGCGATAGAAATCATCATATGAACCGTTCAATCATAATTGTTTCCGAGCGTATATGGACTCCATATTTTTCGTCCTACACAAACATCACAATTACTATTCCATTTTCATGATATTATATCCAGTATTTCAATATATATATATATATAGGCTATTTCAATATGTAAAAACTAATAACAATTATTCATTTTATAGATCTATCTATATTCTTAAAAGAAATGGACAGGATCGCTAAGTGATTTAATATTAAAAACGAAATGCTTTGTTTTAAAGTATTTCTGTCAGCAGTGGATTTATAATAGAGGGTGCGATCGCCCCTTTTCGACATAGGATTGTTAGGAAGTCTCTCGAAAATCTTCATGGATTTGAATTTTTCAGGAGACTCACTGGCAACTTTCTGAAGAATCCTTGGTAATACTTATTCACTCCCTAAGGAGTCCCTGAATCTCCTCTGAACTCCTCGAGGATTTCCGACAGGGATTCTTCTGGGAATTTGTTGAGGGAGGGTTGACTAGGGTGTTTATAATTCGACTTAATAGAGAAATATTAAAAATGTGTTTTTTCAGTAGAATTAGGACATTTAATTGTATTCGTTCTTCAATATGTATTTTATGAAAAACTGTTTTATAATTATCCGCTTGAAAAATTGAATTCTTATTTAGCGCGTGTACGATCATAGTTAAATATTGACAATAGTTACTATCTTTTATGATCCTGTCAAAAAGAATATTGATCTAGTTATTTCTTTTTGTTCATAGTTTTCATTCATATGAAAATTCATTTTCTAATAACATATTTCTTCATTTTTGAATAAAAATATCATGAAATTTTGATGTAATATGTCCCATGAATGTTCTTCTGACATTCAATATTTCGAGAACAATGTACGTTAGAATCAATGGGCACATCAAGCTGAACTTGTTTATTTTTTAAACTTAAACCATAATAAATATAATAAAATTTCAATGAAATTTTAATTCTAGAGTTAATTCAGAAGATCAATTTTAAGAAAATGACTTGAACAATTGTTGCACTACCTAGGTCGAACGATACGGTTCGTATACGGACCGTATCGTTCGACCTGGGTATAGAATAAATCATTGAAGTAATTGACAAAAGACAATTTTTGATTATTTCGATTTTATCTAAATAAATCTAAAGTAAACTTCAAGGCTTATTATGTTCGAATTATCTTTAAACAAATGAAATGAATCGAACAAAATGGATGTAATATATTTAATACAGTTTAAGAAATTTAGTAATATCGATGTTATGCATTTGATATTCCAATTAACTCAATACAATCATCACGAAATGGAAGACTAGTTATTAATATATAAAGATTATTCAGAATGCAGTAGACAAAATCAATAAATGATCAATAAAATTTCCATTTTTATGAAATATATTTTACATGATATTCAACATTCTGTAAATAAACCTTTGTTTCTTGTTGAATCAGTATGCTTATCTCTAAAACTTTGCGTTCCGTAATTGTTTGTATATAGAAAGAAAAACAATACTGTACAACTATTCTAAATAATTCCATACAAACCTACATAACATGACATTTTTTTTATTCGAACTGTTTACTCTAAAATAACATCGGTTTTTTTTGGTATGTAAAGATATACACTGTTTATTATTATTTTTATCGACGTATATTTTAAAAAGATATTCAATTAACAATATCGTATCGATTGAGAATACGCAAAAGAAAAAAAAAATTCAATCTCATATTTTCATATCTTAAATCAATGTATTAATTCATAATTCTTTAATTTATCCTTCTTATCTTTCAATAGATGCCACAAGTAGAAGAAAAGAAAATACTTTCGAGTCTGATTTGTACTTAACAACACGATGGATACATAGCAACGTGTATACGAAAAGAAGAATAAGAAAAAGAACCTTCACAAAAAGAAGAGAAAATATTGTGTTGTGGTTACAAATTATTTTATTTTGATAATTCAAAAAAACCAAAAATGATGAACAGTCGAGCTAATATCCGACCATATAATCCTCATGTTCTTGTTGGAAATTGGTATGAAGATAGAGTTATGGAGGAAGTATGAAAAATTTTTTTTTTATGTTTATTAATCGATTATTTATTCTGATATTACTTAAATGATTAGGAAGTATTAAAAGATTTTCTTGCTAAACGTTATTCTGGTCAATTATCATCACAAAAAATGACTGAAGTTGAACGTATGTCACAAACAATTCCATTAAGTGTACCTGCAAGTGATGGTTTACTTCGTTTTGGTCATCAAACAATGCTTGTTAATACATTCATTTATTCAGCTCAACATACAGGAGAAAAATCACAATTAAATTGTTGTTTAGCAACTGGTATTCCACATTTATCAGGTACAAATGATGGTGCAACTGAAATAACAGCTACAGGAACAACATTAATGCGTCCTACACTTCGTTCAACTTTTATTATTCGAAAGTAAAAATTTTTTTTTTTTTTGAAATACATGAAAATCATTCTTCTATATAATAGACCAAATCTTTCGGTTAATTCTGAATCAATTAAATATGGTGATGAGATACTTATATCGGATACAAATGGAGAAGTATTTTATTTTATTTTTTTGAATATTAATTTTCTTTTTATTGTTATTGTTAAATATTTAGTTATTTTTAACTTCTGTTAAAAGTTCAACACGTGCAGGACGAACATGTGATGTTATTTTTACTAATAATCAAAATCGAAATAGTGTATGGATTGTTACGCATTCAAATATAAATTTAAGATTAGAATTTGATGGATCAGAAGTGAAGGTATTTATAATTTTAATTATATATAATTAAAATATATGTTGATTTTTTTATTTATAGATTGATAATAAAATTGTTCTTACTCATGCAGCAACTAATAAATGTTTATCGGTTAATCCTGAACATTCGAATAGGTATATATAAAAAAAAAGAAAACAAAAAGATTTCATTTGATTTTTTTTTTGTTTAATAATTCTTTATTTATTTATTTTTTCTTGTTAAATTCTAGATCACCATATGGACGTGAATATGAACTTTTATGCGAATTATCTACGGGTAATATTGCTGCATACAAAGCTCCTATTCTTTGGAAATTTCAAACTCAATCAGCATATTAACATGATTTTTTTTCCTTTTGAATAGAGATCTTGTATGCGTGCGTGTGTCTATATATGTGTGTGTTATTTTATTCTTCAAAAAAAAAAATAAACGCATTCTTTCTTATTTTAACAATACAAACAAATAAGAAATAGGTAATAAAAAGGATAATTATCTAAGGATAAAAGTCATATTGACTAACATAAATCAATATTTTCATAATTGATATTGAATTTAAAATATTATTCGTATAAATCTTCATTTCAATATTTAATTCAATTTCTTGAAATGCACTTAATTCTCTAATAACAATTAAATGAGCATTATGTGGTGGATAATTTTTTAATTGAAAATTATCAAGTGTTGTTGAAGATAATTTTGTAAATGGATCAAATGCATCAATTAAACGTAAATCAAATTCAGCATATTGATTCGCTTGTAATTGACTATTACGTATACGAAAGATTTCCATTGGTGTACGCATTTTTGCTTAAAAAAAAAAGGAAAAAGTAAATAATAAAATTTAATTTTTATTCATTTTGTTTTCAATTGACATACCAGGTAGTGAAATAAATGAATAAACATATTTAACTGGTTTTTTAATTGTACAACGTAAATCTTTGTCATTTTGATGTTGTTGACACCAACGTGTAGATAATTGACATCGACTGAAATAAGAAAAAAAGAATTCAATCAATGTATTAAACATACAAAAAAAAACAAAATATTGAAATCAATATACTTATTTCCAATTTTATCATAACCTTCAGGACATTTAACAGAATAACAACGATGTCCACCAAGAAGATTAACACAAACATCATCATTACGACATTTATGCGTACTAAGAGCACATTCATCTATATCTTGACATTGACGACTTCGTTCAAGTGTAAAACCTGATGGACATATACATTTATATGAACCTGGTGTATTGACACAATGATATTGACATAAATTTGGAATCATTGAACATTCATCAAGATCTAAGCAAACAAATAGAATTAAAAAAAAAAGAAACAACAATAAATAAATTATCTAACCTCGACATGTTCGTCTATCACCATTTAATCGATAACCTTCTTGACATAAACACTAAACAATAAAATCACTTTAGTTAATCTCTTTTGTTTGTTTTTTTAAAAATCAAAAAAATTCTATTTACATAATATGATCCTTGAACATTAATACATTTTTGTTCACATGTATCCGATGATGTTTGACATTCATCAATATCTAAAATAGACGAAATAATTATTAATCATACATTTTTTTTGCATCAAATTACCTTCACAAAATGCACGTTCAGCTATCATCTTATATCCTGCAATACATTCGCACTAAAAATATTAGTTCATTTTTTTTTTTTTTATAAAACAATTTTCAATAAACTTACAGCATATGATCCAGGTGTATTACGACAGTATGCATTTATTGGACAAACTACATTACCACGTACACATTCATCATCGTCTAATATAAAAAGAAAATATTAATATTGATTAAAATCATTTCGAAATAATATATACATACCAACACAAACACCATATTTAAATATAAATCCAAGTGGACATTCACACTAGAAAGAATTTAAATTTCAGTAATTTTGCTCATTCTAATGATGAAAAATCAATGTTTGATCTAAATTTTCACTTTTCGAAAAGCAATTTATAACTTCCAGAGAATCAAATTGATCTTTGAAAGAGCACTATCTTCTCAACCTTCACGCTGAATAAATCATTGATGAAAATTTCATTATTAGTAAAACGTCCATATTATCTCTAATAATTATCCATACTAAGGAATTCAGACTTACATAAAAAGATCCATATGTATTTTTACATACTGCCGGTGAAGGACAAGTATGATTACCAAGAGTACATTCATCAATATCTAGAAAATGCAAATTGTATATATGAAAAAGAAAAATTTATTTTAATTACCAAAACATTTAAGATCTTTCATTTCAAGTCCACTTGCACAACTAAATGTTTGAACACATCTATATGAACCCACTGTATTATCACATCTTTCAGTAGGTTGACAAGGACCTGGTTTTTGCGCACATTCATTAATATCTAATAGATAAAAAAAAACAATATTATCAAATAGATAAATATATAATGGGGAAGGGCACTAAAAAGTTTTTTCGCCAGCCTTTTAGAAAAATATTCGAAGACTAGTTTTTGTGTTATTTTTCAAAGTACACCATCCCTTCATCAATAATGCATCGGTGCATTCGATTAAATCATAAAGATAGAATTTGAGAATGGCTACACAAAGCATGTGTAACATAAGATCTCTGTCGTTGATATTTTAGTTTTAGCAATAGACAGAAGTCACATAGGTTTATATCTGTGGAATATCCTCGATCAACATATACTTTCATACGTCCAACCTCTTACGAGTTCACAATGCCCATGGTCTCGTGTTTTTATAGTGATAACGAAGACCATCAAGATCGATCTTTTATTTCTATTCTGATGTAGTTTGAAAAATTGTATTAGGCAGCAATTAAAAGGTTAACTTTTATGTATTAGATCCCAATAGCATAGATTTTGTTAAGCTACATTTTGTAGGAAAAAAAAAGATTGAAATGAGTCTCTATCCAAATCAATCATAAGTTAGAAACGAAGAACTACATGTTACAATAGCGAGTAAATCAGATACCAACGAAAGTAATCTTAAATATGTATTCAACTTACCGGCACATTTTCCGAATAGAGTTACATTAAAACCTGGTTGACATTGAACTTTTTCACAACGACCAAAAAAAGCATTGAATTTTTCACCTAGTGTACAATTCTGTGGTTGACATCTATATAAAAAAAAAATCAATCAAAGACTAGAAAAAAATCCTCAAATAATAATTACCTGTATGTTCCAGGTACATTTTTACAAATATAACCAGGTCTAAAAATACAAATAAAAATTCACATTCAAATATTTTTATTTTTAAAACACAAAAAATCTTAATCACTTGCCTACACTCATCAATGCCTTGTTCACATTCATCAATATCTGCAAAAGGAAAACGAATATTGTACAAACAAAAAACAAGATTTCTTTTTTTTGTCTTACCCATGCAAGTTTGTGTATGAGGATCAACTTGATAACCTGTACCACAATTTCTTTCACGTATACATCTATTAATAAATAAATAAATAAATAAATAAATGAATTTATTCATCCGAAAAATTTTCAATTACCGATATGATCCAGGCATATTTTCACATCGATGTCCATGTGTGCAATTATGTTTATGAAGAGCACATTCATCAATATCTACATATGCAAAAAACAGAAAAGAAAAATAATTTAATTCAAAAGAAATAAAAAACTAATCTTTACCTCGACATTCTCCATATTTAAGTGACCATATATAACCAGATTCACATCCTTCAATACATTGATAAGAACCTGGTGTATTTTCACATTTCATCGTTTCTGGACATGGACTTGATAGACATTCATTAATGTCTAAAGAAAAGTTAATGATTATTAAAATTTAATTTTTTTGAAATTAACGCATAATGCAGAATGTATTAGATCGGTTGTACTCTCCCCATTTGATCGAGACATCTGCTGTTTTATTAAAAGATGGCGCTTGAAATTCTCTACAAAATCTTATAGGATTCGAATCCAAAGTTTGTTTTAGATATATTTGAAAAAAGATGAAAAGTAAAGACGTAGAAAATAAATATCGGTAGACCGGCGAAAATTTATCGTGATTTGATCGGAGTGGTTTCATTACATAGAAACAATTAAGTTATTGATAAAAATGATCAACAACATTGGTTCTATCAATTTGTCATACCACTCTGGTCGTCAACGCACAGTTCAAACAAAAGTGAATATCTGGAAGGTGAGATGGCGTCTACCTATGTCAAAAAACTCAGAAGCAGATATTCAGCGATCGGCTCTGCCTGGTTACGATCGAAACTAGGAAAATCTGACCACCGGTTTACTGTTTCCAAGTTCCTACTGTTTTCCCGAGTTTTCTGGCGGGAGTCTATCGAAATCATTGATCTGAGTAGTTTTCAAGAAACATTTGTCGACAAGAAAATCATCTATTGAAACAAGGCGCTTACTGCTCTTATCACATGAAGATCTTGGCTATTTCCTATAACAGAAGGTCAAAGAATCAACCGTAACTGATCTGAACAAAAAGAGCGGGCTAATTTTGCACACTGGATGTATGCGGAATTTTTTTTAAGGTTCACGTATATTGCCTTAGCAAAAAAATGATGTACAGACCATCTTTATGAATTCATATGGAAGAATCATCACGTAATGAATCTTGCTGATTTAAGTCCGTTAGATTATAAAACATTTATAGACGATATGAAACATTTAGTCAAAAAAAAGAAAAAATTTTAAATTCTGTACTGGATTTTACTGTACGATTATTAAGAAAATGGACGAAATTATATTTGTTAAAATTAAGTGTATCATTTTGTGCAGAATTTCAAGCGTTAACTTTTAATTAAAAAAGATGTTTCAAAGAAACAAAGAATAGAGGAAAAATATTATAAATGCAAACAATCTAACTTATGCTGCATCATCCATTACATACCACGACAACGTCCATATTCGCCCATTTCAAAACCAGTATCACAATTCACTAGAAGAAAAAAACAAAACTAGAAATGTATATATATTTCATTCAATTTATTTTATAGATTACAAGATTTAGCTTTTTTGCAACAATTTGTAAATTGTTCACCACACTTTTCATCAAGTACAGGCACCGGGTCACAATCTTCAAGATGTCGACCTGCTTGAACACCTAATTCGCAACATCGACAACATAGCTATCAACAAAACAAAATCTTTTCAAAGAAAAACAGAAAAAAAAATTAAATATATAAAACCTTATAAGTATCTATTAATTGTAATTTTGTTTCATTACATGGTAATAAACGAAGAGCTGTATTTATACCTTCTTCACAAAAATAATGACGTAAATTTGATAAACAACATATATGTGTTAAATAAGGACAATAATTTGTTGTATTTGTATCATTGTTTGTTGTTAATAAGTGTGATTTCAACGAACATGTTTTGTTACGTTCAGCTTGAATTCGACCTGTTTCACAACATTCTTCAGCATTATTACGAAATGCATCTAATAGAGAGAATTCATTTATAAATACATATATATATATATATAATTAAGGTTCTTTTTTTTTAATTTTCATTTACCCGTCATTAACGAAGAAATTGTTAAATATACTAAAAGAATTATAACTATATTTGAAAATAAATACATTATTTTTTGTACGAGTGCTAGATGCATGTTAATACTAACACAAATCAACCGGTAATGTATTATAGAATAACTCGTTTTTCTTTTCTATCTTTGTTGTTGATGCGATATTACAGCAGCATCAATTCTATTCGACCTTCGTACTCGTCCTCATTTTTTTTCTTCTATTGCTTCGTATGTATCCACCTAATCGATTGTCAACGACACATTCTAGCTATTCTGCACAGAACGGCAAATATCTAGATTATTTCATACATTCTAGTGTTTGCTTTTGGGTGTTTCCAAGAGAGACTAATTGAATGATCATTTGTATATTATAAAGAAAGCATTAATACATCTATATATTATGTAAGCAATAATCAATATAATTGAGCTGTTCAACAAACTTTCATTTACAAAAAAAATATTTTTTTTTTGTGTACTTGTAAAAGATAATTGTCATTCGACTGGCTTAATGAAATAATATTTCTGATTGAATAAACAAGACAAGTCTCATATATATATTATTCTTAGAAAAAGAATAATTTGACCATGTACAGTTTATCTTGCTTGTATATATTATACTTTTGTTTTAGAAAATATCAATTTAGATGCCAACAATACTGTTCAATTTTTCTTTTTTTCTAAACCATTATTTGTCGACTATTTATGACTTTAATAATAATTTCTTTTTTTTTGCTGTTTTATTGAAGAATGCACCACTGAACTTGTTCGTGTCTTTTAACATATTTATTTGACAAGCATCGACACAAACGTATACGTTCTCCAGTCATGGAAAAAAAAAGTGTAAAAGAAACAATAAATATATACGCATATTGCTATGCTGATGCGAGCCATAGGAATGAGGAGACAGTCGTCTGTTCTTTTATTTCTTTTTTCTTTTTCTTCTTTAATTTTACTATAAGAAATAAAATACAAGCAGCATTAACTAAAATGAAAGAGGAAAAAAAACGCACATACACGCACACACATCTAACGAGCATGTTTGTAAGAAAGACTTGCCATGAGAAAAGAAGAAATAAAAGGTAAATCTTGTCTGTACATATATACGAGCACCTACATCATACCTTTTCTCAGTCTTTCTTCTATTCCGTTATATATATTTTTTTCTTCCTTATACGAATAATAATGAAAGATGAATGTGCATCGATTATTCTCATACATTCCGATCATGGATGTAGTTGATCAAATGAAAAATCCATCGACCATTGATAATATAATATTTCATATATATCAAATTTCAATCTATTAATATGCTAAAATATAAAAAAAAAAGATTCTTCTAAATCGTTCTTTTATTTTCTAGATAAAAATCTTTCATGCAATCAAAAATTATTTTATTGACCATTTTAATATTTATTTTTATTGATATATCAACAAGTCAGAATGATTATAATATATCGACAACAACAGCAACACCTCCTATTAAAAATCCATATGAACCAAAAGATCATATTGTTAATCCACATAATTTTTCTTATATATTAAATCCTGGTTATTTTATATGTAATACAAATAATACACCTGTTTATATACTTGTTTATGTTCATTCTGGTCCAACAAATTATCAACGTCGTATTGTTATACGTGAAACATGGGCAACACAAACATTATTTTCTGATTTACGTCTCATTTTTATGATTGGTAAAACATTAGATGATAATATAATGAAAGCAATAAAATATGAAAATGAAATTTATCAAGATATTGTTCAAGAAGATTTTATTGATGCATATAAAAATTTAACATATAAAGGTATAATGGCATTAAAATGGATATCAATATATTGTTCACATGCAAAATATATATTAAAAGTTGATGATGATATTGTTGTTAATACATTTACATTAATTAATCATTTAAAATTTCTTGATAAATTTAATCCAAATAGAGAACAAACAATACTTTGTTTATTATGGCAAGCTATGAATGTTATGCGAGATAGGTTCGAAATATAGACGAAAAAAAAACGAAATTTTTGTTCTTTTGCTTTATTTTTCTTGTTTTTATTTTTAGTAAATCAAAATGGTATTTAAGTAAAGAAGATTTTCCATTTGAGAGATTTCCACCATATTGTAGTGGTTCAGGTAAAAAATTACTAAAATATATTGAATAATTTCTTCTTTTTTTTTTTTGTTTAAGCTTATATTTTTACTGGAGATATGGCTGCAAAAATGTAAAGATATATATATATATATATATATATATAATGGCTTCGAAAATTGATCATATTGATTTAATTTCGATTTTTTTTTTCGTAATGGTAACTCCCATAAGGTGTCAAAATAGTGATTTCGATAGAGAAAATTGTTTGCAACAAGGAAATGAAATCTTTACAGTATTCTCGAAAAACCTGATTTTTCAGTAATTCGAGTCTGAGAATAAAAGTTTCATTTGATTGCAAAGAGTAACTGATTCTCTACAAAATGAAACGCTTCCAAAGGACAAATAGTTGATTATGTGGCATTAGAATCACATGCAATCACTTGGAATCTATAGAATCAGCTATTTTTCTTTCAGAAATTTTCTCACAATATTTCAAATCATTCGTTATTTTCATTTGAATAATACAGCAGATGATTCTACTTAATCATAATAGTCAATATTAGGACTGGAAAGTTATCGAATAGCAGATAACGGAGAATTTATGAGTTTATCACGAAAAGATTATTTTCAAATATAGCGATATTTTATAAAGTTTGATCAAAGCTTATCGACATCAAAGAATCTGTGTTGCGACCTTTTGCATATAAAAACCTCAATTTTATGCTAAAAAAGCCAAACAGTGCATCTTTGTGATTTTCTCAAAATCAGATTTTTAAACGAAAAATTGAAATTTCCTCCCGTTTTTTTCTAGACGATTCGATCGATTGGACTCAAACTTTTTTTCATAAGTATTTCGATCAAAGTGAGATGCGTGTCCTTTTCTTCTCTTGAAAATGTTATACCTATCAAGTTTATCAGGGTTTAAAAATTAGCATCATTCGAAAAAAAAAAGCTTTTTTTCATAGTTTTTTGATAGTATCTCCATCGTTTTGCTTCTCTTGAGCCTCAGGAACAATATTTTTCAAAGGAAAAAAAAACACGTATCCCGATTTGTTCTTAGTTGCCGCAGAAAAAAATTTCAGACCTAAATAACATAGTATGGATGTTTATGGGGGAGGGAAGTTCAGGTCGTTTTTGGCCTTGATCTTACAGGAGAAAGCATTTGGGAATTTAGAATCTATGACAACTTTTATTCTATTTCAAAAATTTTCGCCTAGCTGTTCTTGAGAAACCTCGGAAAGGGAGGAGTCTCCTTAAAATAGTAGAAAAAATCCCTGCTGAAATATGATTGACTGAGAAAAGTTCTATCCAGCTAATCAAACTTCAGTTATCATTCATCATTCAACATGATATTGTCTTATTATATTTTTCTCTAAGTTGGCAAAGACGAAACGATACTAAATCTTGATTGACTAAGAGAAAACTTCTACTAGAACCTAATTGACTTAAGAAATACCGTGTGACGAAGATACCTCGCCTCAAAACCCCTTTTTCTTTCTATTGAAGCTGCTATTTGTATTCTTTATGCGAATTACCATTACGGAAAAAAATCGAAATTAAATCTATATGATCAATTTTTTTGAAGGCACTATATTTTAATTCTTTTTTAATTGTTTATCATTATTAGGTATAATGCTAGTTTATATATACCATTTTTTTGGGTTGATGATTATTATATAACTGGAGCAGTAGCTAGTGCAGCAAATGTAACATATACACAACTTGGTTCACTTTATACAATTCCAGAACAAATAGCACATTCGCGTTTTATGTCTTCGAAAGCTTTTTACACAATTATGTTTGGACATTTTGTAAACAAAATGAAATTTTGTTTGAAATATTTATAGTTTCTATTTTATTTATTTTAGCCTGGTTCGATGAATAATATGCGTGAAATATGGCGTCGAATATTATTAAATCAAAAATATAAATATCCAACACGTGTTCCATCGAATTCGTTTAGTTGGGATGAAACAATTCTTTCGAATGAAAAAACCATTTCATAAATAGCAATGTCTTTCGATATATATATATATATATTTATTTGTCTGATAGAATAATAAAATTTTTATTATACAATAAAAAATTTACTAAAATTAAATGTATTGGATGTTGGTCTTCAACAAATATCAATTATAACTAATGTATTATTGTTCAACTATTAGTAATAAAAGAAAAGAACATGAATGGCATAGCTATTAATCAAAGACTGTTTTTTTTTCTAATTCAATATTATTATTTATATTTAATATTAGTTTAATTTGAAATTCGGCGGAATATTACTTTTGAATGTTGGTTTATAGTTTTAGATATGTCAATATTTTTCTGGTGCTATGATTTTTAAATAATAGTTTCCATTCTATAAAAGTTTTATTACATTTACTTCTAATAATTGTCAACGCTGAAATCATTTTAAGAATTCTATGAAATAGATATTCATTAACAACATAGAGACATTTGAAAATAAATTTTTAAGAGTGGCACGAATTTCGTCAATTAGACTTTCACCAATGACAAAATTCCGGAATCTCGTTTTTACTTGTTGAATTTTATTAATTCAATATGCTGTAAATCTCGGTATTCATTTTGGCATAAAATGCAAGACCAAAAATCAAGATAAATAAGCTGAAAATAAAAGCCAAGACAAAATTATGATGAAAAACCTAGCTCACGATATAGAATACTTCCAGAATGCGATTTTCTTCTAGTGCAGTGGAAATTAGGGATGATCAGTTTCGTGGAAAATACTGAACTAGTGACAGTGAATCTACTGACTATACTGAATCGGTGTTCATTGAAACATTGACACACCCATAAAATATAAATATACCAGATAAATTAGTGAACCCCGATCTAGTGTAGTCAGTGTGAGTTTTTGATGAATAATTTACTGAAACTGCACATTCCTAGTTAATGTCTATATGAGAGATTTCATTACTGAATTTTCTCCATTAATTTTCAATAGGCAGTACATCTACGAATTTTGTATCACTATCTTGAGCTAAAATTTGAATAGAAAATAATTCAATAATAAATCGTAACACAAACTTTGTTCTTTATTTCCGTTCTGCATGTAGTGTGTTCATGTACTTTAGTTGATTTTGAATCGTTTGTTCAGCACATAGTTTCACTGATTATGGTACTAATGCTTCATCATAGATCTCAAATATACGTTTACAACAACTAATTATTGGTTCTTATTATGCTTTTATTTTATGTCAAATGTGTTCGTCGCTTTTAAAGAAATGTTATTGAGTGATTTCCAACAATCGATCATCACATTCTTATGTCTACATTGCTGCAATTACAAAATGTCATCCAATATAATGTAATTTGAAATCTCCTCAACATGCAAAAGAAATTCAATTTAGTACGCTCACAATACCCATAAGATCCTAAAAACTTATTGTCTGACCAATCAAATAATTCCATATGGATGCAAATAGTTCTCGTATTATCATGTTTATACACTAAAATAGTCTACCTTAAAAATTGATTAGCTAATTATAAGCAGCTTCTATTATGAATTCATACAGTAAGGTACAAAAGTCCTTGTCCGTCACAAAAACAACAGTTCTGAAAACTTTCGGATGGATTTTTTGAGAACTCTGTAGAAGATTGGAAGAGGTCGATATGTGGCTATACAAACAAAAAATCATCGTAAATATTTTTGAACAGCAATTGATCTTCTGTCTTAAATATAATATTGTCAAGATAAAAGAAAACGTAACACAGTTGTGGACAAGTGCCGCAATCATCGACCTCGTAATATCACTGTCGTTAAGCATAAGGCCCTCGGCAACTGGATTCAACGAAAGAATGAAACAACGGCAAAAGTACTGACATAAAACTGCTTGATGACCGAGGTCAATACATATCCTTGTGAAACACACAGCGCCGACTCGAACGGGTTGATTAAAAGAATACTTAGCTCCATGCGATGCTAAAGTTAGCACAAGGATACGAGCGTCCACAAGCCAATTTAACACAAAGATGAAAGTCGACGTCAAATAAATTCTGGAGAACAGAAAGAAATTCATTATATAGTATGGTTTCAGCTTTATGAGCCTAGTCGGCTGGCATTCATTCAGGAGAATATCGATAATCCTCACTAAGTTCAAGCCATTGCAGACGGCAATTCTAGAAAATAATTCTGCCTGTCTTCGAAATTGAAAAATTTACACTCAAGAAAATACCTGGAACAATCGGCTAGTTCTCAAACACTTGCGACATCAATCCAATCGAGGATCTCTGATCAATACTCTAGAAATCTCAATGAGCTATCTTTACTTTCACATTATAAGTACTATAAAATCGATTTGATCACTCTAAATTATTTGGTAAAATCGTGATAATTAGCTTTGATTAATTCATAGAAAAAGAGAATCACATTGTACTACTTTTGTACCTTTTACTATGTGTTACATGATTAGTTTTCATGTTCATTATATCCACCCTGAGCAGTAGTTGATGAAACACTGGGAGTGAGGCAACAACTTTTGTATTTTGCTGTACACCAGTGACTTCTGGTGACTACATATTTGAATCACTAATTAATAAACTAATGGTTCAAATAAAATTATTATTTTGTAAAATTTTACAATTGAAATCCAAATAAAATATGATTAACACTAATAGAAAAGTCATATTTATTTCATTGAAATATAAAACAAATCGACTAGAAATCAACAATATCATACTATCTAAAGTAACATTTATACTACATTATGTAAATTTATTTAACAAAAAAACAAAAACATCAGAAAAAGAAAAATTTCAATAATCAAAAATTCTTTATCAATAGATAAAAAAACAAAAATTACATTTTGAATTAATAAACAAAGTAAAAACATTGCACAGTAGAAATTTATTATTACTATATACATGTAAATATAGAAAGAAAATCAAAAACAACTAATATTTATTACGATTATTAAAATTAAAGTGTTTCCATTTGAAAATTTTGACGTGTTTTTTCTCGAACTTCCAATGCACGTTTTTTTGCTTGGTCATATTCATCTAAAGTTCATAGAAATATCATATTATCGAAATTAATTATTGAAAAATAATAAACTATTCAAATTTTTTTTTATATCATATATTCTTATTTTCACTATAAATACAATTCTTCGAACAAGAAAATAAAAAATTTATTGATATTTGATTTATCAAAATGAAAGATATGAATGATCAAAAATTACTACAACAATAAAGTATACGATACAATAAGATCTTTAGAGTGAAAAATTATTATTTTGTTTAAAATCTATTAAAACTAATCAAAAGATAACTGGAATAAATCATTGTAAACATCAGATATTCACATATATGTCTCATAATGTGATAATGTCAAGATGAATTAATAGACAATAGAAACTTTTACATTATGTTTGTTTATACTGTCTTTTAAGTCCTAATGATATAAGAAAAAAACTAAAACTTATTGAAATCGTTAATTTTAATTCGACAATAGCTGAAAAATCAACTGCAATAGATCTAACAAGTGGTGCGAATCAGAATTTTTGTGAGACTCATAGGTTAAGAATTATGAGTGAATCTTTGAAGGGCACAAAAAAAAGTCTGCATCGATTTTATTCGACTTTCTTATTTTCATCATTAAGACGCCCAATTTATCTTAATGCTACTGCCTTTTGCTTGATTGCATCATCTTCTAAAATTTTTAGATCAGCACCTAAACAATTTATATCTTTCATAGTAAAAATACCCTTATTGAATATCAATTGCTTTGAATAGCATAAAGAACGAGACAGTCCTTTACAAAGTGAGCTAAGAACCGAAAGTTTCGTAGCAATTCTTCACAAATAATCGAGTTGATTTTGTTAGTTTGGAAATCAAGAAGCTTCAACGACGTCAGTGCATCTTTTATTAAAAATCTTATTATTAATAGAAGTGCCGTAGAAATCTAATGATTAGAATATTATTTTGTTCAGAAGTGTTTGCTCTTTCTCTTAGAGTATTTCAAATAAATTTTACTTCTATCTTGACTAGTCTTTTTGTCTACCGAAATCCGTTCAGACTTTATTTTCGTACCCTTCAAAGATTCATTCATAATTTCTGAACCATGAAATTGACAAAAATTTCAAACATATATCCGAAAATAGTACAGAATTCTCATTCTAATCCAATGCTTTAAATTTTCTGTTGACTCTCGTAATCAATCGACAAATGAAAGAACATTTTGTTCAGAAACCTTTGCATTACTCGCTATATATATTCATATTCATCCTTTTCTTTGAATTTTTCTCTTACAATATACTTGAAAAACTTTTATTTTTTGATTATCATTCTATCCATAGTGTTTGTTTTACTATGACAAAAATGTAAATAGAAATTCGAATTATAGTGGCAGACATCATTTTTGGAGTAATTGTATTTTTGTATTGGAAAGCTCCAAGCTTCCAATAAAAGTGTTTGGATAAGTATATCTGGAAAACCAACACCTTTCAAAATCAGTTGTCTGACATACATTTGAAGTTCTTTAGAAATGGTTTTATTTGATTGAGCAAATAATTCTGAGCAAAATGAGATGTCTCGGCTTTCTTAATCTAATTGCATTCAACTTATAGAAAGTCTCAAACCACCGTTCGATAAATGAAGATCATAAAGAGGTCCAATACATCTCATATTACTCAGAATGATTTGCTCTATCAAATAGAATCCTTTCTAAAAAGCTTCACACAGATGCCAGCAAACTGATTTGGGACAGACTTGGCTTTCCAGTAGAGAATCCTTTTTCAAATGCTTTCTCAGATTCTTTCTAGTTATTACCATCGAAAAGAAAACTTAAAAATACAACTGCTCGAAACTTTTGTCCGTCATTATTAGAGTCTGTCGGGTGCAGATCCAAAAATGTTGAACCCTACGGATTCTAGGTAGTATATGTTTTAGAATAATAACTATTTGAAATTAATTAATGCAATGGTAAATTCTCAAAATACTAACGAATTTGAGAGCAAAAATTTTTCGAAAAAAGTTGATGAATATTCATGAATTTACTCAATATAAAGATCAAATAAAATACATCTACATACAGAGAGTATCATTAATATTTGACATAAATGCATCAAAACTACAAAAAAAAAAAATTAAAAGTATAAACTTTTAAATTAATTATATAGAAAAGAACACATACCCATGACGACTGACAGTATGGGTACTACGTTGTTTTGTGTGTTCTTTTGCAAGACTTCTATTCAAAAAGAAATATATCAATATAATTTTTCAATCAAAAATTTCTATACTGTGATTGAAAAACAACATTGAGTCGAATATTTAATTCTCCTGTTGAAACAGTACGAAAACCAAAACGACTTAATAATGTATTATTCTAAAAAATAATCATTAAGATTTTCTTCTATTTGAGTGAGATAGATTACTGGTTCACTTTCAAATAATTTTGGAATAGCAACATAACTAATATCTTCAAGTTCAGGTGAACCACCAATATAAAAACGACGAAGTTCATCATATATTGAATTGCCACGTGGTCTCCAACATGATAAATGTTCATTATAAAATCCTATGAAATAAAATAAAATAATTTTTAGGAAAACAAAAACGGATAATGAATTGTCAACCTGGACTACTTGGAATATCAATGTATGTATAACCTTCTATTCGATGACGACCCCATGAATCCAATGAAGAAATTTGAAAATAAATTTTTGGCATTCGAGGAAGTTCTATTAAATAAAAATGAAAACCAAAGGAAAAAAAATTGGAGTTTTACCATGATCAGCTGAAACACGTGGTGGTTTATACCAAAGTTCAAATTCGAATGGATGCGAATAATAAACAATATCATCCTTAAAGAAATAAATTCTCTTTTTATTAATTGAAACTCTTGAATTATAGTATTTTTCGATATTGTTCACATGAACAATATGAAGTGAAATATTTCATCAAATCAAATGTTCTATTCATTGTTTAAGATCATCTTTTTTTTTAGATTGGAATGACTGTATTCCAAACAAGATTTCATACAACAATGAAAATAATGAACGATCTGAATATAAATGAATTAGATCAGTCGAATCCAATTACTTTCGTATCTAATCTAAGTACATGATAAAACAAGTTTCGCCATCCGATTATTGAGTTTAGTTCTTGATGAATCATTATGGTTTAACTTGATCATTGTACTAGAAGTGGGATATTCTAGAATTGCTTACAATTTTATAAGATTATTCTCGGTATGAGCAGTCACTCTTTGAAATAAATATATAATTAACGAAATAATACTATTTCAGAAGTGTATAAGTTATGTAATTCCTTGATTGACAGCAATTATTTTTCTCTCATTAGTTTCCGAGTTCCTCAGAAAACGAGGAAAGGCGCTGAACGACATTAATAACAAGACTTAGAGTATTATAGAACATTCCAAACCCTTCGTCGACATCTGAATGACTGGAATACGTTTGTGAATGTTCTAAATTTTAATTTTTGCGCAGTAAAAAAATTTATATTCAAGACATCAAGGATGATTGATAGCGATACATTGATTCGCGACAGGCATCATATAATCAACATAAAAGAGAGTGAAATGATCAAGTTATAACTTTGTAATACAATTAATACCAATGTTTCTAAGCTTATAGGGATATATGGTAGTGCGTTGAGACCTGCTGTAGATATAATAGATATGTGTGGTTTTAGTTTACTGACCACACTGCCACAAAAAGGGCATCTTTTGATAGAGTTAGTGTCTCAATATTGCAGTGAAGACGCATGTCAGTGTCTGAATAGACCGTGTGTTGATGACTCACGGTTTAGTATTTATACCAACACTGCAGACTTCAAGCAAGTCTATTGAAAAAATTGTTCTTATTTTTAAATAATTTTTTTTTTTGCTAATTCAAAGAAATATCATTAATCATATGTGAGATCGTTTTTTTTTCTTACTTACATATTTACTGGACGTTGTTGCACTTGCTGTATGTGTATAACCGGATAAAATCGTTGATGATTCGACATACCAATCTGTGAAATATAAAAAAAACCTTCTATTTATTTGACATGTTCTTAAACTTACTATTAGTTAAATCTAAACAATAATAAACATAAGTATTATCAAAATCGAAATTTTTTCCACTAATAATTTCACCAAATACATTTAATTTAAGAACAGTTGGTGGTGGCTAAAATTAAATAAAACAAAATAAAATTAACCATTTAAAATTGATTTCATTTTTCAATTTTACTATATCAAATTCATTTCCAACAATATTTGATAGATATATTTGTTGTCTTGTACAAATTTCATTCATTAATCTTCTTTCTTTAATAAGATAATCATTAGTTATTGATATTGATGCATGTTCTAAGTAATACTGATAAAATGCCCTATCGATTTTTCCTGTTTCAACCAAATAAGCCAATTTACCATTATTAAAATCTGGTTCTAATATAATTGTACCATTTGAATAAACATCTATACGACATAAAACATGTTCATCAGTTGATTGTGAAACATCAGTTGTTGTATTAATTGTTTGACTTAAATCAGCCATTAAATACATTGTTTGATATGGTAGAGAAGTGAAATGATTTGTTCGAATAATATCAAATGTTGGTTTTTGATTAATAAGATTCGTTTTGTGTAAATATTGTTTATTACTGAAGAGATATTTTATAAATTAATTGAACATAGAAAATTATAAATAACAAACCTTTGTTTAAAATTTGTTTGAACGACATGACGTTTACCTTAAAAACGAAATTCATGTTTGTATTTTTAGCCTGACAATACTTCTTTTGAATATTATTAGTGATGACCCGAAATAATCAACATTGGAGGGAGGGTGTATTAAAAATATTTAGAGAACAAAGAATGAAATAGAAAGTAAAATTATTCTTAAAACAGATATTTAAATCGATCTAGTTGATCGGTAAGAGTAGTATCGGCATCCGATCTGATCGATTGTAAATTGTAGACCTTTTACATTAGTGACACAGTATGACGAAGGAAAATAGTAAGTATAAGATGTGAAGAGAGGTTTCTTGGGCTGCTCGTAACTCATAGCAACCTGTGTTGAAGTGTAACAGTGAAAGTATAGATCAATGATTTCAACGTCGCTGACACTTATAACAACGCTGGCAAAGGTGCTTGTGATAGGCTTTAGCAACCGGGATTGAATATCAGTGGATATGTCTTCATAGTAACTAAGGTCAACAGGTATAAGACTTATTCTCTATAGTTACTTAGCAACGGAAAACAAAAGGCGCTGAATGGCATTAACAACGAGGTAGAGATGTTTCGAGAATATTCCAAAGGTGAAATATGCTTTTGACTATTCTAAATAGTGAGGTTAGCCTATTATATTCAAGATCTCAAAGATGATAGCTTGTCATATTTTGATTTGCTACAATCTTCATATGATCAACATTAAAAGTATGAACTGATCAAGTTGTAGGTTTCAGTAATCATCACTGCCAGTGTTTCTAAGGTTATCGAGATACATAATAGCACGTTGAGAATTTTTGTAGATATAATAGATGTATACAAAACGCTTATTTGTTAGAAAATAAATAACGAATGAATAAGTACAAAACAAATAAAATATTAAAAGAAAGAAAACCTCTGTCCACAATGCAGAAATGAATAAGACAGATCGTTTCTCCGATGATCGATTATCCTTGAAAAAAGCTATAGTCGATTAGACATTTTTTACTTTACATATTTTGTATTAGGATAATGAGACTAAAGGAAACATGTGAGTTCCATATTTAAGCCTCAAAAGGAGCTGCACGACAAGTTTTCATATATGAGTAGGCCCAAGAAAATTCTAGAAATTTTTAAACGTATGGATTCTTTAGTATCAATATTTGACATTCTGCATCACTGCAATCATTTATATTTAAAAGAAAAAACAAGCAATCTATGGTTTGCGTATTTTTCTCCTCTCTGATTATACTTTAATGACAAGATTTTCTTATAAATATAAGAGATATCATATCATCATTTGAAGGACTATGGACAATTCTACAATTTTCCTTATCCTATGAAGATCTCCTACATAATCCAAATATAAAGTCGAATCATTGTTGAAAAGCATCTGTTTAAATTAATAATTAGATTCGATTATTTGCATCAATCATAACTTACGAACATTATCAATTCCTAATGCTAATCGACTTGGTTGTTCATTTGGTGAGTCAGTCATGAAATAATCAAGCTAAATTTAAACAAATATTAACATTAATAAAATTGGATTAAATCTATTATTTACATGTCTTTCATAACCATATGGATCACTTTCAATATATGTAAATATTCTTCCAGGTTGTTTGCTATCAGCTCTAAAAAATAGAAATAGATTTATTTAATAATCTTTTCAATCTTTACTTCATTTTTTGTATCGCATCAAAATATTTTTGTTTAATTGCTGTACTATGTGGTCCAACATTTCTTCCATATTTTTCAAATTCGGACTAAATAAAACTTAAAATAAAAAAAAACACCGGACAAATGTGAAAGTATGTAAGTACGCGACTAAAAAGTTTTTGTTGCCAACCAATAACAACTTCTTCATATTCTGAGTTTTTTGTTTCATCAAATACTTGTGCTATTTCAGTTCTGCTAGCTTTTGGTTTTTCAATAGGTTGTCCATCATTACCAAGTAAACGAGATAAATCTTCTCGAATTTTTAGTCGTTCTAAACTTGGTAGTAATGAATTAGATGTTAAACGTTCTAATTTAACACTAAACAAAAATGAATTTTTTAAATAAAATTTGATATTTAATATTCATCATACCGAATTTTAAAGTTACTTATTGGATCATTTGTTCGATATATACCACAATGAATATCATTATCATCGAAATTCGACATGATTTTTTCTTCAAAAAAAAACGAAAATTTAGATAAGAAGATGTTTTAGAATAGGTATCTATTGGCCTTAGTGATTATCATATGAATGGACAAATCAAGTGTAGATGTCGTGGGTCTTAACATGCGTCATATCTGATTCAACGAAATGTTTCAAATAATAATATAAATAAAAGAACTTTTTCTAAATCTTATTCAAAAAAAATATATCTATGTAACTAAAGGATAATGAACGTTTTCTACTGATCAATGACTTTCTCATCGAAAAAAAGTGGATTGTAATTATCGATCATGCTTATTCCAAATATGGTCATAACAGAATCTCTTCAGATTTTATTATATGCTGATTTTCTAGAGAACCAAAATGTTTGCTAAAAATTTCTTTTTCGATCTGTACAGATTATAGAGTATATGAGAGTTGCCTAGAAAACAATAGTTTTTTCTGCTTTAAATCGATTTTTCATGCAGAATCCCAGGTCCATCATTCAGGCCGTCTGAAACGACGTCTTAAAAGGCCTAAAACGGTCAAAAAACGATGAAAAACGATCGCCGGTTTTCACCGTTTTCCGTCAGCTCGGATTGAGGGCCGTTTTTCCCCGGAACGTAAACGGCGCCGTTTAAGGCCGTATCCGATGCGAAACGGTCATTAGCATTAGGGAAGGAATTTGCTCGTTTAGATTCTTATTTACACTGTTTTTTTTTCACTCTCCTCATCTTCCCCAAAGACAATTTGTTATTTTACAATAAACACTCACTATGCAATATTTCATTGAATTAAATCTAAATAAAAAAAAATACATAAATTAGTTACAGTAAAATACTTACTGTTAAGTATTCCAATTGAAATAAACCTAAAATAAAAAAATAAAATTATTTACTTATGGAAAATACTTACTGTTGAATATTTGATCGAAATAAACCTAATTAAAAAAAATAAATATGTTTATTTAGATATAATACTTACTAAAGCCCCCCCCCAAAATAGACGGCCACCCTATATTAGAAGGCCACCCCCTGTATAAGGCCATGTCCGAGCAAAAGTTCAAACGCTCTATTAGAAGGCCATGTACTAATTAATTAATATATTCCAAAATTATCGAAATTTTCATAAATATTAATTAATAATTAAGGAAATATAACCGATTTTCTAATGTTTTTTTGCGAAATCCTTCCTTTCCTATCATAAATAGTACAGTTTTTACAAAAAATGGTAGTTTTTTCACAAAAAACACCTAAAAAGCAATAATTAAAGTTATTAATTAATTATTAATTTTTTAAATGATTTTAATTAAAAACTGGCCAAAAATTGACTCCCAATAGAAGGCCATCCAAAAAGTAGCGATGTGCCAAGACACTGTATAAGGGCATGCCATTTTATTCTGGGAGGGGGTTTATTCAATATTTCATTGAGCTAAATCTAAATAAAAATAAATAAATAAATTAGTTAGAATAAAATACTTACTGTTAAATATTTCCATTGAAATTAATCTAAAATAAAAAAAGAAAATATTTATTCAAATAAAATACTCACTATTGAATATTTTATCGAGATGAATCTAAATAAAAAAACAAATACTTTTAATTTAAGTTGAGCGCTTACTGTTGAATGTTTCATTGAAATAAATCTAAATAAAAATAAATAAATGAATTTGTCGGAATAAAATACTTACTGTATTTCGGTTGAAGTTAATCTAAAAAAAAATAAATATTTTTATTTAAACAAAATACTTACTGTTGAATGTTTCATTGAGAAAAATATAAATAAAAAAATAAATTTATTTATTCAAATAAATAGTATTGAACGAGACGATAGAAGGAATGCAAATAGAAAGAAATAGCATTCATTTTTTTAAATAGGCAGTGTCTATTCGATCATCAATCATCAGGAGGTGTCTAAGGATGTCTTTACAGTACTTATGTTGACACGATGAAAAGAAGTGTGAAACGGCAAAAAAACGATGGTCGTAACGGCAGCTGTTTCCGGTGGTGCGTGAACGACCATCGTAACGGATATCGTTTTTCGCCGTATTTCTTCGTTTTACGGCACACCGTAAACGATCGCCGTAACGGCAGTCGTTTTTCACCGTTTTTGGATCGTTTCAGGCCGTTTACGGACCGTTCTATATGACATGGGATATATAGCCTTTCGATTCATACAACAGATACATGTCAACATTTCATCGCGAAAATCTTCAAATGATCTGAACAGATTCACAAGGATTTTTCCAAAATGTTTGTTAGTCTGGAAAACCGGTTTTCTATAAAACTAGCATTTAAAAACGTAAGGAATCTTTTATGGTTACATTCGGAATCAGTATGGTCGATACCTCATAATTCAGGAGCATTTTGTGGGAAAACGATTAATCATATGAAAATATTCTCTCATGAGTTTTGGCTTAAAAAATAATATAGGAATAGAATTCAGAAAGAAAAACAGAACTGAGCCTCCCTTTTAGACAAATATATTAGCAATTCCATTTATTCAGAGTTTCCACCATATTAATATAGGAGAAAGACGCATTTTTAAATCAATCATCACACGATCCTCAATTGAAAACTTTGGATTAGGTTAATTACCACTCCGTTCAACCACGTTTTACAGTTCAACAAAAGGCATGACAATATTCCAAAACATATACACTCTCAACTAACTTGATCAATTATCCACTGTATGAAACCCTAATCTTGACACGAATCCATTTTTTGCTTCGAAAACTTGTATCTAAACGAGACTTAAGTTCTCTGATGAGTTCTTTGAGCAAGGACGAAACCGGTTAGGGTAGCTCTATGCACACCTACATCTCGCGCTGTAATTTACTGTACGGTAGAGTTAACAGATGATGCGAGATCTATCAGATGGCTTAAACAGATGTTGTGACAGAAGAAGAAAAGATATGGCTATAGTCAATTTTTTCTCTTATTCAGCGTCTCGGTCTTGCATTCCAGCATCCGTTTGAATCATGTGATAGATCTCTTGTTATCTGTTAATTCTACAGTACAGTCCTCTATAGCGCGACTGGAAATAAGCGTGTACTCATTTTCGAAGAAATCGTCTCGAAGAAGTCGTCCTTGACGTCGAAACTTCAAACAAACGGTTATCTCAACATGAAAGAGTTCAAAACTCGAGGATCAAATTCTGAATAAATGGAACGCCACGCAACTTTTGCATCGTTAGTTCCTTAGAAGTACTGGTAAAGATTCTACAAGTTGAATCTAACTAGAAAATCTACTTCAGGACTTCTCAAAATTTTGCTATTATTTCCAAGTAATCAATAATGTCGAAGTATGTAGTATTACATTTTGTTCAATCAAGGAAGAGTGTGAGTGCGAGTACATATAGATAAGACTCACACCCACCCACACCCAAACCTTTCTTTCCGACTAACAGCTAGTAATTGGTCATCTATTTCACAACATTGTAGAATATCGTAAAGAACAATCACATTCAACGTGGCTAATGTTGTATGGTTGTTTAATGAGTTAGTAAAGGAAAAGTATCCCAATTATAAACCAGATAAATCATCTCTTCTAGATTATGCAATGCCTGACAAACTCATTCCAGTATTGTAGTTGTTCGCAACTTCATCCGAAATGATTGAAGGTAACATTTCATTAAAAATCGGCGAGTATGATTATGTTGATGAATCCTATACAATTGAATCAAGTGACGACAAAGAAACGTGCATAGTCAATAACCAGTCTTACTTCTATCAAATCATGCGTGAACTTGTGCAGTTTGCGAGTATTCACCAGTGTTCATTCGTCAAACGCCGATATCGTTAGATCAAAAAATTAAAAACAATTAAGAAGAATAAGAAAATATGTCAGACAGCAAAGAACCAAGTGACAAAAATTAGAATAACTTGATCAATTTGTTTTAAATGAATTTAACCCGGCACAATGCAAATGTTTACCAATTGATGATTGAGATTTAAAACGACTTGCAATCAGAGAAGCACGAGAGTTGAATTTGCTCAACTTTGTTGTATCTTATTTTTGGCTACTTAACTTCAAACATCGGCATCATATTACATCAAGAAAAGTGACCAAACTCGTCACGAAAAATCATGTTGATAATAGAGAACAAATTATCAATGAAGAAAAAATATTACTCAAAAAAGCCGAACAAGCAATTTCTCAATTTAAAACTATACATGTTCTGAATGCTAACCAAAGTGCTTTCGAATATGAGGTATCATCGACACGTACTCTTTCTTTCTCGGATGAAAACAACAACTTTGAGTCCGATCATTTCACAAAGGGCTCTTACGGGTTCACATACAATTATGCCCATGTTAAGCATGAATGATAAAATTGTAGGACCACTGTTTATATGTTTATAGGAACCATCAAGAAGATTATAGGTCCACGAGTATCACAGACAATTTTTAAAGCACAAAATATTCACGTCATCTGTAGTAAATCGGGAAAACTAACGAAATCTCATGTTAAATGTTAAGCACAAAAAGTTTTGCGACCATCTATTCAAGAAATTTGCCTATTATTTCTGGATTCATGATCAGGGCATACTAATCTCGCAAATTTTGATGAAGCATTCAACAAAAACATTCTGTTAGTGATGATTTATCTCATTCCTCTCGATGTGTTTCTTTTATTTCTTTTCTTCATTCGATCATTGTTACTGATATCATGATCTTTCTTCTCTTTTCTACCTGGAATTGTGTGTAATGTATATATACGTCCAACATGTTAAGGACATTTCTCAGTTAGAGAGTGTATGTATACCGTGCGAAGTTAAATAAAATAAATATAAGCTCGTCGTGTATGAGCTAACACATTCAATGTGAACTTTTACAAATATCATCTAGAACAACAGCTAATATCTAGCCCCATGATAAATACTTCTTCAGATAATAGAAATGTCTCTATCAAAGGTGTTGTGATCGTGTAGCAATCGATTAACTGAAAATTGACTTGAGATCGAGAGATAATATTTCGAAACTAAATTCTCTAATTCATAATCAATTCTGTTCTGATCGATTTTCTTTGATGATCAAGTCTGCATGGTACTTCAATGGATGTACCAAACAAAAACCTGGACAACTTCAAAGTGTTCGTGATACTGGCTTCTCTTTTGGAATAGATAGCTGTTCTGTTACTGGTTGCGACGAAGTAAGCTTTATATCCTGTAGCTAATGTGATAAAGTTCTGTTCTTATCACGCTTTGTTGCCGATCATAAACATTTTTAGTTCATTTAGTTGATCTATTGTATGCATTGTTTTGGCTAAATTTGTTTTGAAATAAAATTTTTAATTATTTCCATTGAATTGTCAGCATAACAACTAATAATTCAGATAGATACTTAGTTGAGAAACACATGTATGATACTTTTACTTGTGACAGAAAAAGCCACATTTTCTATATTGTATCTTGTTCATTCTCTGTAATGTTTTATGAAAAAAACTCATCATTGTTACTACTTTTATGAAAATGAAAAAATGACACACAACTCATACCTGTAGTATCTTAGAAAACGAAAAAGTTTGCTTTTCTTTATTTTTTCAGACATCAACAAAAATATCTAAGATATTGATATTAATGATATTCGCCAAGGTCCCTACAGGAGAGAATGAATAAGAACTCATTCTCAGGGGAACACTCAAATATATTCCCTTGTAAGTCATACGACAG